ACTGCATTGCAGTGAGCCGCTTGGATGGCGTGTCGTGGCGGGTGGACTATGCACTGAGCTCCAGCGAGCTGCAGGAGGTGGGCGAACCTCTGGTGCAGCTGCTGCTGCGTGTGCGGCACCGGGAGCACGGGGAGCCTGAGGCCGTGCCCATGGCCGTGTCGGCGGAGAAATTCCGCGTGCTGCTGGCAGGTGAGGATGGGTGGAGTTGGGGCTGAGGGAGCGAGTCCCATCCTTTCTCTCAGGGCTCTCCAAGCCCTCAGAGCAACACTCCATGCCACAGCTTCTCCACCCTGCAGAGCTGAAGCAGGCCCAGGCGCTGATGAAGACCCTCCTGTGAGGACGCGGCCCGGCGGTGGTGTCACAAATACAGTGCGTGTGTTCTGTCCTCATAATAAAGTGCGGGAGCGAAGCCCGAGCTCTGTCAGCCTCTTCCTGTCCCCGGGGCCTTCGGGCCGTGCAGGCCCAGCGCGGTCGTTGCCATGGCGACGCGAGTGCGGTCCTTCCCGGCATGCCCCGGGGCGAAGGCGGGGCCAATGGGAATAGGAGCGGGGCGTATCGCCATGCGATGGGACCGCCAATGGGTGGTTGGCGGGGCGTTCCCAAGCGACGTAACGGCCAATGGGAGGCGAGGGGGTGTGTCCCACGCGTTAGAACAAACCGATGGGAAGCGGGCGGGGCTCGGCCAGACAACTGCGCAGCCAATGAGAGGCGAGCGGGGCGTGTCGCCAGGCAACGGGGCCGGCCGTGGCGCGGAGCGATCTCGGTGTGCCGGCGGCGCGGAGCATCCGTCGCCATGCCGGAATGCCCGGAGCTGCACCTGGCCGGCCGCTACATCAACGAGGCGTGCGGCGGGTTGGTGTTCGAGGGCGGCGTGCAGCGCTCGGTCGTGGGCCGCGGCCCGGAGGTGCCGTTCAGCAGCGAGGCCTACAGGGTGACGGCCGTCTCCCGCGGCAAGGAGCTGCGGCTGACGCTGGAGCCGCTGGACCCCGGCCCTTCGCAGGCCTTGGTGTTCCGCTTCGGCATGTCGGGTTCGTTCCGGCTGTGCGAGGCCTCCAGCCCGCCCCGCCACGCGCATTTGCGTTTTTTCACCCGTGAGAGCCCCCCCCGCGCCCTCTGCTTCGTGGATCCCCGGCGCTTCGGCACCTGGCGGCTGGGAGAGGAGTGGCAGCCCGACCGCGGGCCCTGCGTCCTGCTGGAATACGAGGCCTTCAGGTGGGTGCCCGGCCTCCTGTCGCGGTGATGGGGACGGGAAGGAGGCTGGGCGGCTGGGGGGACGCGGCGCCGTGCGTGCCTCGTGCTGTGCTACAGGGAGAACGTGCTGACCAACCTGGAGGATAAAGCTTTCGACAAGCCCATCTGCGAGGCGCTGTTAAACCAGAAGTATTTCAATGGGATCGGCAATTACCTCCGTGCTGAGATCCTGTACAGGTGAGCTGTCGCGTCCCTGAGAGCACGGCGCTGCTTGCTGCTGTCCCTGCAGCCACACCATCGCACTGAGTCCAGCCTCTTCCAATGCAATATGTGAGCACCTCAGGCTGCGTCGGGCTTGAGTGTAACAGCTGGACTCTCTCAGGGCGAAGATCCCTCCTTTTGAAAAGGCCCGGACTGTGCTGGAAGCCTTGAAGCATCGGGAGCAGGTGAGGAGGAAAAGGTGGAGGATGCGTGGTGCTTTCCAGGCTGCTGTGCTTGGGCTTGGGGGCCCCTGCCCTTCAGTGCCATTATGGATTTGGATTTGAGCTCAGCAGTGGTGGCCCAGGGTTTGGGACAGTTTCAGTTCACATTGAGTACCTCACTGTGATGGGGCTGCAAACTGTCACCAGGTCCTCGCAGGGTTCACACAGCTCCTTGCCTCTGTCCCGCTGCTGTCAGGAGGTGTTTACTGCTCTGGACAGGTTTTGAAGTGTAATTGATTGAACCCTTCCTGCTGCCATCGTCCAGCAGCCACACTCAGGTTTCCCAGCATAACAGCAGGCATTTTCCCCTTGTAGCTTGCTGGCTGGGGTCTCCCTCATCAAGCTTGTTGTTGTCCTTGCCATAAACACCCATGTCAGAGCATGTCTGCTCCTCCAGTGGAGCAGCAAGTGAGCACAGCCGTTCCATAACAGCACACGTGTGGCATGCAATTGCACGTGGCTATGCCAACAAGCTGTGACAGCTCCTCAGGCACGTGCCTTCAGGTCAAGATGGTAAAGAGGAAGTGGCAAGGAAAGCAAATATAATGCAAGCTTGAAACCTCTGGGGAAAGCTGCAGCTGAACGTGTGGCTGGCTTGCTGTCCGTGTACTCTAATCCTGAAGCCCCAGGGGAAAGTGGGTGGTTGTTTTCAAGAAGTTTTAAAAACAACAAAGCACAACCTGAGGCTTCTTTTTAGCAAACTGCTCCTTTTTCATGTCCCTGTAGCTGTGCTAGTACTACACAATGCACAGCCTACAGCGTGGCCTGCAGATTGGCTTGTTGCCCTGGCAAGAGGCTGAGGGGGGATACAGGATTTGGATGGTATGGGGATGAAAAGGTCCAAGTGGGGTAGCTGGCAGGTTCTCTTCTCCAGAATTCTTCCCTGACATTGAGTAAGAAGCTGAAGCTGAAGCGAGATAACCCGGATCTCCTGGAGCTGTGCCACACAGTGCCCATGGAGGTTGTGGCAGCAGGTGAGGCTACAGGGCAGGGAGCTGAGGCTCTGGCTGGAGAGCACTTTCTCTCCATTTCCTTTCCCTTTCTTCCTTCCTAGATAAAAATCTCTTAGACCCTTCTGACTCGGATAACTATGCTGCCTTCAAGAACTGGCTGCAGTGTTACTTAGTGCCTGGCATGAGCTCCCTGCGGGACCGCAACAACAGGACCATATGGTTCCAGGTAAGAGTCTGGGGTCTCTGCTTGGGGCTGGGTACCCCTGTAACATCCAGCCTCCCTGGGAGGAGCCTTTCTCTTGTGCACTGCTTCCCCGAGATCACCGAGCTGTATCACTGGGCATCTCCCTTTCCCAGAGCCTGCTGTGACCACCGGACCTGTAGGTGGTAGTGACAGGGACAGAGCTGCTGAGAGACAGAGGGCAGCCTGAGCAGCAGAGGTGGCTGGGTGTTACCAAATGGCTTGGCAGCACTCTTCCTCCTTCCTGGGTGAGGTGCAGTGATGGGGCCTTGTAGAAGGAGCAGGGAGTCTCAGAGACAGACAGTGCGCCAGGTTCCTCTGGGTTTGAGGGGAGATGTGTCTGTTTGCTTATTCCTGTCTTGGCTGTGGGGTGCAGAAGGGTCTCATTGCTCCTGCTGGAAGCTGCTACAGGGTGCTTTTATGGGATGCTTGCTGGCGATCCCTGCAGAATGATGTTATCCCAGTCACTGCTCTGTCACCTTCCTTGCAGGGAGAGCCTGGCCCCATGGCTCCCAAAGGTGAGTGTCCTCCCTCCTCCCCACAAGACCCGCTCTTGCTCCAAGAGGGCTGGAGCACAGGGAGGAACCAGTCTGCTCACAGCCAGAGGAGCACAGTCCTACTTTGAAGGCGAGTGCTGCAGGTCGCTGGTTTGCTGACAGTCATGTGGCAGCTGGGTGGCACTAGGGGATGGAGCTTGCTGTGCCCGTGGCTTCCTAGCAGCCCACCAGCCTGCCTGTGCACAGCTTCTGCACCTGCAGGGTGATTTTCCAGGGCAGCTACATCCCCTTCCTTGCCTGCCAGGCTTGGAGCAGGAGGGCCAAACTCTGAGGCTGGGTGTGAACAGAAGCCTGGTGGTTCACTGTGTTTTGGGAAAGGAACAAATCTGTCGGGAGGGGAGGGGAACCACCTTGAATCCTTCCTACACCTGAGTTCCCATTCACTGCTCAGGATGGTGTCCTTTGTCCCCCTAACCTGAGCATGTCCTCTCACAGGTCAGAAGTCCCGCAAGAAGCACGCACACCTGAAGGCAGATCCTGAAGCTCCAACCCCCACGGTACGAAGTTTTGTGGCTGGTGAGACTGCTGCTGGGGCTACAGGCTGGTTCCTTTGCCCTCTCAGGCTGCTCCCACAGTCACCAAGTGATGCATGAATCTTCATGTTCCCCTCTCGTGTGCATGCTTCTGCTGCTAAGCCCTGGCTCTGTCCACCCAGGTCACAACACGTGCCTCCAAACGGCGTTCTGGGGGTGCAGAGAAGCCCCTGGAGCCAGCTGTGAAGGAGGAGGAAGAGAAGGCAGTGCCTGATGGGTCAAGGAAGGGACGTGCCCGTGGGAGGAAGAAAGTGGCTGCTGCTCCAACCTTATCTGAGCCAGATGTTCCTCCAGTCAGAGCAAAAAGAAACCGGACTTCAGCACGCAGAGGCAGAGGTGAGGCTGGTGGTCCCGTGACTTTTGGACCACGGAGGTGACAAAGGGCAGAAGAGTAATCAGGGCTCTGCAGAGCAGAGCCAGGCACCCCCTCACCTTCTGCCTTCTTGTTTCTCTTCCAGGTGCAGCTGCTGTAGTGTGAGTAGAGCACACTGCCTTCACACACCTCAGCCTTTGGAATCGTGTGACTGCTTCTGCTGTGGAGACACACTGGCCTGGGCTGCCTGGTGTTGCTTTCAGGCATGCCTGCTTGTAGCACTCGCTCTGTGCAGCACTACTGCTCTTGCAGCCTCAGGGATGGGGGCAGGCTGGTGCTCCTCCTCCTTCCTGTTCTTATATATATTTTTTTACAACCTTGCTTGTCCCTTGTGAGTGTTTCTAGAATCAGTTCCTCAGAGGGACCACTGATTGTGCATCGTGTCAGATTCTGACCTCTTCCTATACCTTAAATCATATTCCTTCTTCCTTTTTTTAATTGTTGCCTGGATCACTGAGAAAGCTGGTTTTAGATGATTAATAAAAAGTATTTTGTGTAAAAGTTGGTGTGCCTGCCTTCTCGTGCTAAGGCTAACCCCACCATGCCCAGCCTCTTTCCCAGGTAGGCTGGAGAAACCCCATCTCCAAAAGTAAAGGTAAGCACTGCCTCCTTAGTTTCAGGGGTAAGAAATATCCCACTGAGGAGGAAGGACACAGAGAGCAGCAGCAGCTACAACAGAGTGTTCTCATGTAATTTTGTCTTATTTGTGCCCCCTTCTGTCAGAGCAGTGCAGGAGACAGGAGAAGGAAGGGAAGAGAGGGGGCTGACTGCACACTGCTCTCTGATGGCTGGTTGGAGGTCTAGGGTAGATTTTGCTCTTCCCTGGAGCTGCTCAATATTGCACACTTCTTGGGAAATATTCTCACTGGACTCTGGTCAGCAGAAATGCTTGGTCCTTCTTCCTCTCTGGCCCAGCAAGAGGGCACTGGTGGCCAGGCTCAGTTCCAAGAGATGACAATGCACTTCCACCAGGTTACCTGGATGTGCCGTGGGGGAGACTCGGGCTGTGATTTGAGCTCCCAGTGTCGGTCCAGGTTATTGTAGCACCAGCATCACTGCTTCAAAACCAAGAGGATGGAGAGCACTTGGAATGGTGTGAAGGAAAGCTTCATACCCTGCTGCTCCAGTGGCAGGTGGCCCTTGGCTGTTGGCCTCTCCAGGAGGTCACATCTGGGGGGAGAAAACAACTGGTGAAGCTGAAGTGACTGAGCTGAGCTCCTGCCCAGCCACCCTGTGTACACTTACAGCATTGCCTCTTTAATGGGGAGGGAGGTCTGGAGCCAAGTGACAACTGTGCTGCCGTGTGCCTCGTACAGCCGGACCACCACAGCTTCAGGTCTGTCCTCAGCCTTTGCAGACACAACACAGAAACCTGAGTTCACACAGAGGAGATGGGAACATCCTAACCTACATCTTTATACCTCAACCAGACCAAAATGAGCTCAACTGAGCTGCTCTGCCATGCAGAACAGAACTCCGTAGCCACTCAGCCAATCCTGCCTGTCACCCAGTGCCGGGGAGAAAGCAGACCACACTGAACAAGCAGCTTCAAAACTGCCCCCTTTACCTCCCTGCTTCTTCCTGGGGGACTTGCCTGCTTGACAGTCTCCAAAATAACTGCAGGTGAGCTCAGAGAAAAAGCACTCCAGGCTGGACACGGCGCACAGCTGGCTGGGACTGCGTGGAGGGGGAAATTCAAGTTGTAGGCACACTGGATCACACCAGCATTCTGGAAGGAGCCTGCAAAACACGAACCTCCAATCAGTCTTTATGTACCAACAGCCAGAGATGGAGGCACCCTGTGCCTACCCGAGGCTCTCTGGAGCATCCTCTACTCTGGGTGCCCTCACAGTGTCCAACTCTGCTCATTACTCACCTTGATGAGGCATCACAGCGTAGGTGAACTGGTGGTGGGCAATATCTGCAGTGGCATCAGGGGACTTCGGTGCTCTCAGCCTAAGGAAAGAGATGGGACACTCCACAGGAACTTCTGCCACCCAACCAGAGCACTGGCAGGGCAACTGCCTCCCCCAGCTACTTTGGGTCTGGGTCCTGAGGCGGATTCTGGGACTCTAGACATGGTCCCAGAAGCTAAAATCAACCTCTGAAGGGTGGTTTCCTGTGAAACTTTCAGCTGGTAAGATTCAAAACATCCATTTTCTCTTAGCTTTGCATGCATATGTAACAGTGACATTCCATTCCCTTCCTTAAGTCTTCCTTCCTGGGGTGTGTTTTGGCCAGCAACAGAAAAATTACTTGGTGCAAATGTGGCTCTGTGCTCAATGGCATTATTTATGAGCGTATGCCATCGGAATTACATTATCTTAGTCAATTTTAATTACATCAGCTAACAAGTTTTAGAAGACAGCCACCCACTTAGGCTAATCACAGACTATTTCCTTATTAACTATGATCATTCAGGACCAGACGCTGCCCTGACTTGAAACAGACACCTCAGAAAGCACCTCCAATGACTGCTGCAGCTCCACCCTCACCCCACAACCCCACTCACAATGAGAGGCTGAGGACATTCCTGTGTGCTGATGCCCCGTATTTACAGTCATTCAGCACTGCCACCCCGAAGCCGTGCTCAGAGAGATCCATCCACTTGTGAGCCCACACCTGCAGGAGACACCAAAGGACATATCCATCACACAAAGCCTGCAGGAAAGCAGTCATCATGGGACCAGAGCTCCTCTCACCTCAAATCGGGCCCAGTCCCAGGATGTGTTCCAGTGCGTTGGCCGCTGCAGGTGCCCAAATTGGATTTCATAGGTAGCATTTGTGCTACGGACCTGCACTGGGAACTCCACCTTCAGGAACTTGTGAGATTCCTTCCAGTCAACCTAAATGCAATAGCAGAAAGGCATTGCCATGGGCTGACGGGCAGAAATTGCACTCATCTTCCCCTGACCAGGTACAATACAACAGCCACTAAAGACTGCAAGCAGCAGAACTGATTGATTTCATCCACCTTCTCCCTCAAGAGACCTCATTCTGAGACTACCTTCACCTTTTGCAGAGGACAGTAAGCAGTGGGGACCCCGAGAGCAGAAGATGGGGAATAAAACTCAGAGCTAAGGTTCAGCTCGCCAGGGAACACAGCAGCCACTAGTCTCACCTGGGTCTTGAAGCAGATGTATGGGCACATGGCATCCAGGATGATCTCCTGGGTTAGGGTGCTGCTTTCCCCGACCCGCAGAGAGAAGGTGGCGCTTCCCCGCAGGCCCCCTGCCAGGGTGATTTCCAAAGGCTTCAGCAGCGTTGTCACTGGCTTCCTGGAGACAGGGGTAAAGGCAGAGCTAGTCCCAGCCCAGCAGATCCAGGTTCCCAAGTCCCAGGGCAGCCTCACACACAGCAGATGCTCGCTTCTACAGAGTGAACGCCCCAAGATGGGAGAGGTGCTGAGATCTGGCTACAGCTAAAACTGACAGGGAGGTGAGAACTTCCAAGCAAAGCCAAAACTGAAGTGCTGCAGGCAGTGCTGCTCTACCTGGTCTCCAAGTGATAATCCATCACGTCCCAGGCGTCCCAGTACAGGGGAACATCATCAAAGAGTGCAAACTGGTTGGCACGGCAGCCATCGGCGACTGACTCTCTGCAACAAGGCAGAACAGAGAAAAGCAGCTTAAGAAGAGGCAGCGGTGAAGGGCTCACAGTGAGGAGAAGGCCTGAGAGAGGTTATAGGATCCCAGATGCAGGCAGCAGGTGAGAGACTCACCTCTCAGAGTGCACCAGCCGAAGAGAGGTCAGGCGCCCCGTGGCATCCAGGCAGACTGCAATCAGCCCATTCTTCATGGTAATGGAGCCATCCTCCTGGGAGAAAAGAACAAACACATTGCACAGACTCATGCCTTCAGGAGTTGAGGGAGTGTGAAGTTCACAGCTGTAGAACTGGATCTCCAGGTCAGCCTTTGAAGCAGGTACCTCAATCTGAGGACAAAGGCAGTGATGCTTACCTGCTTGATCACTGCCACAGGCTGAGGGGGCAGCAGCGATTCCCTCACTACAGCATAGCCCATGCTGGGAGCTGTCACCAGGGCTGGAAAGGAAAGAGGTTTTGTTTCAGCACCTTCCCCAGACCCATCCTTAAGTTACACCGTGTCACCCTGGTGCTCTCATGTTCACCCCCTCCTCTTTATTCGTCATTTGGGGACAATCTGAAGTGGGAATCAGTAAACCCTCTCCACGACAGGGAGAGGCAGAGTAATTCTTTGCAGGCTGTCCCTGCCACTGTAAGGAACCACGATGCACGCTCTGCTTCTGAGTGAGACATACCTAAAGCCTCTGTTCCAGCTGGCTCAGTCCTGGAGATCACCTCTGTCCGCTCCCAGGGCAAAGTGTTCAGCACAACAGTGCTCTCAGCACCCCCAGACCTGAGCTGCAGCAGTTCTCCACATAAGGACTGCAAGGCCTCCTCCTGCAGGCGACTGCCAGCCCTGCGGATCTCTGAGCAAAAAGCAGCCCCAGTTGGACCCAGGCAGGCAGTTTCTCACATCAGAGAACTTCTGTGAAAAGTACCTATGCTGTAACTACTTCCAAGCTACAATTACTCATTATTTTTAGTATTAATTACCATTATCTATTAAGCAAAGCTTATGATTGTTCTTATTGACTTTATTACGAGATTACAGCGAGCCACATCAGTTCAATTGGAAAATTGCTGAGCTGTAATAAAATAAGCAATTGCAACTGCCTGTGGGCAGACAGGAGCAGTCCTCAGCTCCCACCTTTGCTAGTGCAGAGAAGTCAGTAACTCAGCATGTTTTGCTCATTCCTGGTTGAATTTGCCCAATTACCGACACATGCCTGACACTGTGCTGCACTGGTCTTGTCCCACGTTGCCAGGCAGCCTGAAATTGAAAGCTCTGCAACAGGCAGGACTCAAGGTGCTCCAATAGTAAGTAAGTGCCCTCCTGGCCCAACTCCCTGCTCACCTGCATAGTATTTTAGGGCATCCCTGACCACGAGCTGGATACAGCTGCCTGGTAACACGTCATGAAACTGGTTGAGCAGCAACAACCTAGAACACAAGAGAAACCACACCAGGAAGCAGGGAAGAGCATTAGGTTTGTTCTAGCTTACCAAGCCCTGTTTGCAAGATAGACAGACTTAGTAACTGTTCCCCATTAGAAAACGATGGGGAGTTTTTTTGCATAGCACACTTTAAATCCCCTTACATTAGGATAAGGGGTCATCTTTGCCAACCACAACCATGGGGATTGAGAGCTGACTCTTTCAATCTCTTGGGACTACCAGATATGTTATTGTACAAGTTCAGACCAGTCAAAACTGGCCAAAGATAAGTGTAGGCCGGAGATGAAATTTCCAGGCAGCACAGCAGTAAAAGTTTGGAGCTTCCAAAGGATTTAGAGTGAAGGTTTAAAGATTCCAACGAGAGAAGCAAGGCACTGAAACTCTTTCCCATTAAGTTCTCATCAGTTTATGGAAGAATTATTGTTTGCACAGCAGTCATGCTCATGCACTTCCTTACCTCCAGAGCTGCTGCAGCTGGCTAGCAGGATACTGGAACGTGCCACTCTGTGCCACAGCCAAGGTGCTCAGCACCTCCACGTCATGCAGTATTCGCTCACACTCCCGATTCCCCTTCTTTATCTGGTGCCAATCAGGAAGAGAAGGAAGATTCTTAGAAAAGCTGTAGCCAGGAATGAATCTCTTACACCAGCAAAAGCACAGATCCAGTGCAGGAAGGTTGGTTACTTGTAGGTGTCATGAGCTGCCATTACTAGCTTTCTTCTTTGGCCACAGATCAACCTGGCTTTCAGCTCTATAACCTCCAGCACGGGCCTCTGCTTAACCCCCAGGCCAGACTCCACTCACTTTTCTCCTCTTCTAATTCTTCATCCCTCCTCTGCAATGATCAGTGCCCCACTAAAGCACAGGACATGGCAGTTATTGACCAAAGAGGGTCTTGGCTCCCTTCTCACCCTGGAAGCAAGTCTAACTAAAGACTAACAGCAGATCTGCCTTTTGGAGTGCTGGCTGCAAGGTGGCTCCCAGAGCTGAGGCACAAAGGGCGCTACCCAAGCCCTGGAGCCACCTGAGCAGTAGCAAAGAGAGCTGAAAACAGCCACATTCCCTGAGGGTGAGGGATCCCACTGTCCCATCCATCCCACACGTGCAGTCACCTGGGCCTGGGTGGTGTATGTGCCGTTGTGCAGCTCCAGGAAGAGTTCTCCCACCCAGGTGCACAGCTGTGATGCCTCTTTCTCCAGGACAGAAAAGAACCGGTCAGGAGTGGAGATCTGAATCCTGTGGGAGAGAGGTACAAACAGCAATGAGCCAGGAGAGAAGTGCACGACACAGCTAGTGGGGTGCTCCCACCAGAAAGGCGTCAGTTCCAGAAATGAGGCTTCAAAAACCCCAACACACAACTAAAAGGGATGTGCAGGGGGACTCCTGGCTGCCCAGAGGTGCAGACCACTTACACTTGGAGAAAGGAGAGCACTAATTGAAGAGTGGAAACAGCCAGCTCCAAAATCCTCCCATACTACAAACTGCAGGCAGGAGGCAGAGTGCCACGGTGCAAGCTAGCTGAGGAGCAGCAGTTATTTGATACCTTGAACTGCTGCCTAATCATTTTTCCCCATGTCAAGCCCAGCAGCCCTTTGTCTAATCTGTATGTTGTGTACACAGCTGCTTCAGTAGAAGCAATGGGAGCCCATAGAGGCTGGGACAAGTGCTCTGTGTCTGTGCAAGGAGGCAGGAAAGGATCCTTCACCTTGGCAGCCCATCTGTATCACTCATCCTCTTCATCCTGTCCAGCATGTTTTGCGTGGGGCCACCTCCTCCATCTCCAAAGCCAAACAGGACAGCGCTGTGGTTCACACGTCCTTTGTCCCTGTTGTTCTTCACTGTTTTCAGCATCTAGAAGAAATGTGGGACAGCTGCAGTCTGTTGGTACCCAGCCCCAGCTCTCCTTGCTCCACACAAGAAGGTCAGCCTTGCCCCTCTTCTCCAGCCCAAACCTCAAGAATCAGGCACGGACACATCACAGAGGCAGGCAACTAACTACCAGGTTAACTAAAGGCCTTCATTTGGTAATCCCACTCCCTTTTCTGACAGCACCCCCTCTTAGAAACCTCAGACCTTGCCCCATGAGGCTGGCATTGCACTTCACATGCAGGTTTGGCAAGCTCACTTACCTCCTCCACTCGCCCATGCATCCCATAGGAGTCACCAGGGGGGAAATGGGTCAGGACTCGGGATCCATCAATGCCTTCCCAAAAAAAGGTGTGATGCTGCAGACATGCCAGAGAAAAGTACAGTGTCTCAAAGAGCCACAAAGCACCCAAATGTTGAAAGACAGACCATGATTCCCAGGAGTTCCCAAAAAACTCAAGCCAGCACAGGCAAGTGATCAACTCATCCCTTGCTCAGTGTTTCCAGGCTCCAAAACTCATCTCCCAGACCAAAGTGCACGTGGAGAGTGCAGTTCAACCACATCAGCACAGAACTCAGGCACTAGAAGCCCGTGCTGCCTTGCAAGCCGTGTCAGGCACAAAACCCAGCACCCAAGTCTCCATGGAAGTGCAGAGGGGACAAGCATGTCAAAAACCTGGAGGATCCACACTAAGCCTTCCCCTTCTCTCCATATCACAACTTAGAGAGTTTTTGGAAGAAAAGTCTCCCTCAGCTGAGCTAAGGACTGGTTTGAGCTGTGGAACAAATGGGTCCAGCCCTGCACAGAGACTCCAGCAACCCTATGTCCACCCCTGGGAAAAAGGGAAGCACAACTCACTGGGAAGGTGTTGACCAGGTTCCAGCTGAGCTTCTGTGTGAGGAACCGTTTGATCCCACAGCCACACATCAGCTGGGGCAGCTGGGCTGAGTACCCAAACGTGTCTGGCAGCCAGAACTGGGAGCAGAGGAAGAGAAACACAAGAGTCAAACTAGCCTGAGTTTGTCCAGGGTATCCTGGCTCTAAAGCCTTAATGCAGAGGGCAGACAAGATGTGCTAGATAAGGAGCAACTGCAGACACCTGCCAGACACCAGCAGATAATAAAATCAAGGCCTAGTCCTGTGCTAACTGGCAGGATATATGGGTGACTGGATATTCACTCATCACATCTTTAGTTCCAAATATCAGGCCTATGTGAGGCACCTGAAAATTATATCTGGAAGGCAAATCGGAGAGAAATCTTGAAGGATAGCAAGAGGTGGAAGTAGACCATGTGCAAGGAAAGCATGCTGCAAAAGAGCAAGTACCTCTGAGCAGATCTGGCCAAACTGCTGCTGGAAGAACCGCTGGCCCTGAAGGAACTGCCGCACCATGGACTCTCCACTGGGCAGGTTTCCATCCTGGAAGCAGAGCACAAGGAGTCAGCATCCTCTCTTGCAACACGTGAGCCAAGCCAGGCACAGGAGAAGCTTCCAGCCCACTCCCACTGCCACCCTGCCCACCGAGGATCTGAACACAGCTCGGCACTGCAGAGGAGAGACAAAAAGGTGCTGTGAGCCAGGCTCGCCGTGCTTCTCACCATTTCCACCCAGGTGCCTCCAACAGGGATGAACTGCCCCTTTGCCACGTAGTCCTGAATCTGGGCATAGAGTCCAGGGTACCAGCTCCGCACCCATTCGAATTGCTGTGCCTGTCAGAGCACAGAAGTCAGCCCCAGCTCCCACCACGTTGCTCCACACCAAAGTTCCTGCTCTCTGGAACCACACAGGACCCTGGCCACCCCCGTCTCGTTTGGAGTCACACTGCATGCCACAAGCAGAAGAGCTTCTCAGTGAGCTTGGCGCCGATTCTTTGTGCTGCTCAGAGCAAACCATCCCACTTCCAATCCTCAGGGCTGCCGAGGGCTGCAGTGACCCCTGGGGTTTGCAGTGACCCCATCCCTCCAATTCAGGAGAGAGATGGCTCACCTGGGAGCAGGCAAAGGTGAGCTCTGGGTTGTGCTCCATCAGACGGATAACCGTGACCCAGCTGCGAGCACATTTCCGGATAGTCTCCTCATATGGCCACAGCCAGGCTGTAGAGACAGACACAGGGCCCTACCATGGTTATTACTTGGCACAAGCACCATCCCTGGCTGCCTGGGTAAGGCAGACTCCCTCGGGAATGGGGACACACTTTCAAAGATCAACCAGAGAAAATGCACCACAAAATGCTATCGTTTGACTGACGTGCCTGACAGCACCACGGTCTGGGGCCTTTGCTGCCTCTCTGCTGAAACTGAAGTCGTCTCCAGGGACTGGAAATTGAGGGGTGATGTCCAAAAGGCAGAAAACAGTGCTCTGTAACTCATCTCCCATCAGCAGCCCCATCAGTGATCCAGACCACACAGCTAACCAGACGCACACCCCTCTGCCTCACCGCCCTATCAGACCAGCTGTGTGCTAGCACAGAAATCCCTTCTCCTTTCCCTCAGGGCTCGGCGCCCACAGCCCAAGGGCAGCCAGCACTGCCATCCTGGCCAGTAGAGAGGGAAAGCTGTACTGCTCTCACCGGAGTCAATGTGGCAGTGCCCCATGGCGTGGATAGTGTGCTGGCTCTCGCCGTTCCTCTGGCTGAAGATCGCTGCAGCCAGCTCACGGGCAGCAGGGAAGGTGGATGGGTCCTTCACATCACACACGTTGACAATCTGGTTGGCAGCATACAGGGCCTGGAAGCTCCTCTGGTTTTCCTCCCCGAGGAGCTAAGGGGTGGGAGGGAGGACAGCTTGATTCTGAGCACTCTGGCCAGTATGGATACATCTGTCTCAGGCAGAACCTGCTACCTCCTTCCAACACCTGACTCTGCCAGTGGTTTCAGGCAGACACCACGTCCCTGCTTCACAGATAAAACCTTGTCTTTGCGTGTGTTTCCCTAAAGCCAAATTACACATACACTCAACACCAGAGGGCTCTGGCCTAACAGACTCTGCTTTAAATCAGCAGGTAGATGCAACAAGCACCTGTGTTGTCTCCTCATTTGGATTTATCATACTGCAGACAATGTCAGTCATGCCAAAACAGAGGGAGCAAATACATTTTCCTCTGGGGCCTCCTGGTGGGAGGAGACAGGTCTTGGGACATGGAAGAAGGGGATAAAACGTAGAAGTTGTAGGAGGCAGAAATGCTGAGAAAAAGAAAGTGAAGGAGCACACAGACCTGGGCCATGTCCAGAAGTATTTCCAGATCCACCAGCAGCTCGTAGACATCTCTGTTGAAGACCACCAACTCAGCCTTGCTCAAGGTGAACTTTCTGTCAGGGTCCGGAGGGGCTATCATGGAGCCCTCGCCAGCCCCAAAGAGCCCATTGCAGGCCAGCTCCACGTACAGCGTCAGACTGCAGAGAGCAGAAGGAAACCATCAGGAAGCAGATGACAAGTGACCCCTGGGGTCAGATTACTCAGCTGGCAAAGCCCATTCCTACCCCCCGGCAGGACCAACCCAACTGAACTTCTGACAGATACACTTAGAACCCTGATGCAGGCTTGAGTATCGCACCCCAGCTTTGGTTATTTCACCACCAAGCTTCCCCAGCAGCACAGAGTTTGGCCAAGCTGCCCACTCACCTGTGGGGCTCTGTCTCCTTCAGGCTGCTTGTCAGTACATAGCTGGTCTTCTCGCCTTCCTTAGTCAAACCCTGAAGGGGAAGGCAGCACATTTAACCTACATTTGCACAAGAACACGACAGCAGGCTTTACAGAGCTGCTGGACAGACAGAACGCCACAAAGCCCTGCTGGATGGAGGGCTGTGGTCCCACGTGTCATAGCACAGTGCTTCCCAAAGGAGTACTAGACTACCAGCAGGCCTGACTGTCAGGACTGAACTCTGGATACAGCCCACAGACCCTCTGTCCATCACGAAGCAAAGTAAGCAAACCACAAGTGTCACCCTTTCTCCTGCCCCACACGCCAGCCTCTTTGTGTGGAGCCAGGAGTTGGACTCAGTGATCCCCATGGGTCCTTTCCAATTTTGGATATTCTGTGATTTCATAACTGCCCCTCTCTGCACTGAAGCTTTTCACGTATTTAAAGACTTCTCAAGCAGCTCTGGTTTATTTGTTAAGGCTGAACCACAGCTATAAATACACTTCATGTTTTCTTTCATGACCACATTGTCTAGACCGCTTGTTATTCCTGGTTCTCTCCCTTTGGTCCTTGTGTTATTTCTCCCCAACAACACAAGCAGACATTACTCTGAGGCACATAAAACTAACAGAAGGGGATTCCTACTGCTCCATTAGAGAGGGCTGAGGGAGATGACTCCTCTGAAGACAGCAGAATACCTGGCATAGCTGGCATACACCTGACCCACCCCTCCTTACCTGGACCGGCTGGGCATCTCGCCACACCATGCCTTCACCATCGCTCTCCCAGACAAAGTGCACCTCCTGTCCTGCCCATGCTGGGGGGATGCTCAGCTCCACTCTAAACCAGCAGGTCTCCCACCTGGAAAAGAACACAAGGACACCTCACCCACTGCTGAGACCTTCCCAGAGAGAAACCTCGTGCATTCTGAACCTCTGTGGGCAAAAAGCAGCAGGGACGCCACGCAAGCGCAGTGTGCTCAGTGCAACAAAGCCATCTGTCTGCACAGACATGCTTTAACCAGCTCCCTGCGTGGCTGTCAGTGACCCAGCATCAGTTCAAGGAGGACACAACACGTACACAGAACAGTCCTGTCCCATTTAAATGCACTGGGCCTCCCCTTCCAGCAAGCTGTCTGCCCTTTAATCACACTAAACTTCTGGCTCATGGCACTGCTGTGGGTTAGAGGTGTAGCAGCCAGCCAAAAACCCAGCCAAGTGGGGTGAAGATCTCTGAGCAATCCATAAGGTAATGAAACCCGAGAGGACGTGCTTTGATATGAAATGATGGTGATACAGAGCTGGGAGGAGTGGCTGACACACCAGAAGGCCGTGCTGCCATTCAGCAAGACCTGGACAGACCGCTGAGTTGGGCAGAGAGGAATGTGATGAGCCTCAGCAAGAGCAAGGGTATGGTCCTGCACCTCAGTAGGAACAGCTGCATGCACCCATATAAGTTAGGGACTGATCTGATGGAAAGGAGCCGTGAAGAAAAGGACTTATGGGTTCTGGTGGACAACAGGCTGGATCATGAGCCAGCAGTGTGTCTTTGTGGCCAAGAAGGCCGATGATATCCTGGGCTGTATCACCAAGAGAGCACCCAGCAGGTGGAAGGAGGTGATCCTGCCCTTTGCTCTGCCCTGGTGAGGGCACACAGCCAGTCTGGACTACCCAGTTAAATAAAAAAAACCAGGGAGATCTTCTTTGTGGGCCACAAAGATGACCAGGGCTTAGAGTGCTGCCTGTACAAGGAAAGGCTGAGAGACCTGGGACTGTTCAATCTGGAGAAGAGAAGGCTGAGTGATGATCTCTTAACTGTTAAAAATATCTAATGAATGGGAGTCAAGTGGACGGAGCAAGGTTCTTTTCAGTGGCGTGCAGCAGTCAAACAGGGGTCAATAGGCAAAAACTGGAACACGGGAAGTTCCACACAAACAAGAGGAAGAACTTCTTTATGATAAGGGTGACAGAGCACTGGAACGGGCTGCCCAGAGAGGAGGTGGAATCTCCTATGGGGATATTCAAGACCCACTTGAATGCCGGCCTGCTGTAGGGAACCTGCTTTAGCAGAGGGTTGGACTTGGTCTCCAGAAGCCCTTTCCTGGATGCACAGCCGTTACCACGACTCTCAGCCCTGATGGCAGCAGGCGGGCAGCTTCACCAAAGCACACAGCAGGAGGGGCACACGGCGTCACGGCACAGGTGCTGACAGCCCGTACTCACGTGGGCCCAAAGGCGTCCCCCACTCTGGCCGGCCTGAACTCCTGCACGACGGCCTCGCTGTAGGGGATCCGCCGTGGGGTCTGGAAGCAGGAGAGCGAGGTGGGAGTGCAGCTGTCCCCATAGAGCCTGTGGGCAAACGTGGCCGGGATGTGGTGAGCTCAGACAAGGGCCCCCACCCCACAACCAACTCCTCATGACACCGAAGGAATAACAGCCGCCCACCCGAGGCCGGGCCTCTGTGCACTGAACCACCTCGGCTCTTCCCTCGGAAGACACACCGAGGCGAGGCCTCTCCCGAGCCGGCAGCACCCGGAGGACGGGCCCTCCCGCGGCCCACCTGCCCCGCAGGTTGCAGTCGGTGAAGTAGGTGGCGGACACGAACTTCTCGACGCGCTCCAGCGCCGTACGCCGGTGCTTCAGCATGGCGGCGCCCAAGCCGCTACTGCGCGTGCGTCTCCGTGCCGCCCGCCCTGCGGCGGCTGGATGCGTCGCGCATGCGCAGAACGCGGCACAGAGCTGAGGGGATGCGGCCGGGCTGGGGTGAGGCCTATAGGCCGCACTAAAGCCTGAGGCGAGGCCTACAGGCCGGGCTGGGGCCTGAGGCGAGGTTTACAGGCCGCACTGAAGCCTGGGGTGAGGCCTGCAGGCCTGGCCTGGCTACTGCATGCAGCCACTGCCCCCCAAAGCCCCGCTGGGAGAGCCCTGCTTGGTTGCTACATAGGTGCTTTCCTAGCAGCTCAGTGGGGCTTTCTCCCTGGTGATGCACTGCTTGCTGCCCCGGTGTCTTAATGGGGAGCCTGGGCCCCCCCATGTCATGCACTGCCCGCCCTTGGGAGCTCACAGCGTGGGGTGGGAAGAAGGATCCGCACACAGCAGTTAGCCCTGATATTTTAATGGAAATACTGCACTACAGTCAAGTTTACAACATTGGTATAGAAATCACATGGATAGTGGGCCGAGGATCACGTTACAGAATACAAAAAGCAAGTTCAAATAAAAAGAGAAGCCTTGTTGCTATGGTACAGCCAGGCAGGGCGGGATGGCCCTGGGACATGCAGGCGTCGCCCCAAGCCAGGCCTGCGCCACCCACATGTTCATTGCTGGATCACCTTCAGCATACAGAGGAAAAAGGGGTAGGGAAGAAACCTTTTGAATGGAACGATAGGGAACTTATTGCTGGCAAACTCTGGCTATTCCCCGCTGGGCGCTTCCCTCTATTTTCCTTTCTCCATAGGAGGCTCCCGGTCACCACCACAGCCAGACCCGTCTCCTGCACCCGGGCTGCTAATGAGTTGGGGCTCTGTCTGCACCCCTCAATTCTGCACACCCGGCTCTCTGCCACGGGAAGGAGACAAGCTGCCAGCCCAGAGATCCCTGCCAGATTGTGGTCACAACAGCAGCAAAGCCACGCTCCCAAACCAGAAAGGAGGGAAGCAGATTGGGGTGCTCATACTGGCAGCACTGGTTTGTGCAAGGAAAGCTGCCTCCTTTGAGGAGGAGAGACAGTGCAGTTGTGTCTGTCGTGGCTTACGAAGTCTGTATGTCGACTTCATTTTAAAATCAGAATCTTCCCTGTGTTTAAATATCTGCCAGCGCTAAACTTCTATGCTTAAAAAAATATATATCCCATATGTGGATTTCACTAGTGAAATGCACTGAGACCCACCCCGGCCCCTGCCCTTCTCTTGCACGCACACACCAACACACACACAGAGCAGCTCTATCCAATACTGGTTTGGTACTTCAGATGTTTTTCTCCAATACTGAGAGGGAAAAATACACAAGCACAATCAACCTCAGCTAAGTAGCTCAGCAACACCTCCCAAAAGCGAAGGTCCTTGGAGCTGGAAGACTAGGTGGATAAAAACTACCCACCGGAACAAAAACATTAAAAAAATTAAAAACTATATAATATATATTTATATATCTCAACAGACCGCTTATACCTCAGTTGTGTGAAGCACAAAACACGCACGCTGCCTCTGCTTTTTCCTCTCAGATTGTGAAGCCAATCGTAACAAGGTGGGACGCACTCCCTCTCCTCATCCCCCAATGCTGCATGCTGCACGGTGCATCTCAGACCAGGGACAGGGCTGTGGATGAGCGAGTGTCTTCCTCCAGTAAGAACAAAGACATCATTTTTATTTACAAAAAAAGGAGAAAAAAGTTTCCACACAAAAGCACTACAATGATAACTCCCTTTGGTAAAAAGTGTAATAAATGTCCTCATAGGTCTGTCTGTAGGTACTAATTCTCAAGCCACCTGGTACTATGGTACACAAGAAGCTAGTACAGTTATGCTAGCACATCAAGCATACTTCCTTTAATTAAAAAAACAAAACAAAACAAAAAAAAAAACAAAAAAAAATTGACAATTTGTACATTTATTTACAAAAAAGGAGGGGGAACATGTTAAAATTGTGTTGTTCTCTGTTGTGTGTGTGTACGCACATGTGTGTGAAAAGCTGGTGCATGGCACTAGGAGAGACTAGTAAACAAGCAGGTACAAAAAAACAGTTCCACTGGCACTAGAAAGGACAGACCAATCTGCACTGGTTGAGTCCAGCATGGGAGGGAGGGGAGGGAAGGGAGGAACCGAGGGTCCGGGGGCCCGCAGGGGAGCCCAGCGCCTCTGGGCTGCGGGACACATCCAAGCAAGGAATCTGAAGACCGCCGAGGCGGTCAGGCGGTGGAGAGCCTCCTCCATTTCTCCTCCCTCGCTGCTCAGGCCACCGGGGAATAAAGCCTCAACACTGCTGGTGCGTATGAGCTCGTTGCGTCTCTCCAGGACCGCTCAAGTTCAGGAGGGTCCTTCCCTGTGGGGTGCATGCTGAAGTCCAAGGGCCGGCGGGCAGGGCGCCCGGCAGGTGCTGGGACACCCGTGTTCCTACAGAGAATCCCGCTGGTGACAGCTTGTACCAGCCACACACTAATCAAGTGGCCACGTTACGGAGATACACAGTGAGGGGAGAAAGGCATCTTCCTCGTTTCCTTGATGCGCACGCACACACACACAGCTCCCGGGATCTTCCCTGGCCCAGGGCATTTACGGTGTCTTGAATATTGTGCCGTATTTGACGCGGTACTTGTTAATGCTCACAAAGTGCAGGGTCTCTGTGTCACAGGTGGTGGTGCAGGGCACCAAGCCCTCCAACCCTTCGCCCATTAGCCACTTGCTCGTCTCGGCTGCCATGTCGCGGGTGACGTGCTCCTTGGTCCATTTGTCCACCCAGGCCTGGAACCTCTGGTGCAGCCGCTTGCTCACTCTTTCATGGGACTACAGAAACAAAGAGGTGTTACAGAGAGGTGGCTCCAGCCCCAAGCTACGGCGTAACGCGTGGCAAAGAGGCCAGGCTGCGAGGCAGTATGGCCAAAAGATTTGCAGGGCAGGTGCTGGCCCTTGCTAGCGACAGAGGGAAGGTCCAGGGAAAGGCCCGCAGGCCTCCTTCCAAGAAGTCTACCTCTACGAGAATTACAGGACAAAAAGAACTCGGAAATACCAAAAGATCGTATCAAAATCAGGCCATTCTGTCACGGTGCTCTTTTTCTCCCTTTTTTCTTTTTAAATTTAAAATGTATTTTCTTGTATCCTACCACGTAGTCCATTGCGGTTAAATGTAGCTTCTGCAACTCCTTCAGCATACTGAGAAGTTATACTGCGTGCTATAGTGTAAGAGGTTCAGTATTTTGACTAGGTTAAGATGCTCTGTGATAAGCACCAGCACACGGTATCCTGCTTATAAGGTAACTTTTACAACCCTGAGCCAATTGAATTGGGTAGATGGAATTCAATCAATCAAAATCTTTAGTATTGGCATTTCAAAGACCCAATACTGAAACAGAATACTCTTATCTGATGTGAATGTGAGTTTAACAAAATTACAGCTAATTGAATAAAACCATTACTTGTATTTCATCAGCAAGAAACAGATGAGAGCAGTCGTTTTAGTAGTTTAAATAAACGTCCAACAGAGCTGTGAAGGGATGATTTCCAAGGCAGGAAGCAGAGGACACTTCTCCCACTCCCTCATCTCCCAGCCAATTTTCTCAGCGGTCAGGAGTTCACTCAGGAAGACAATAATTGAATAAACAGAAACCCAATATCTGCAGCTACAGGAGACACTGCTGCTGACAGAGCCCCCCACGTACCTCTGCTTCTGGTTGCCTAAGCAGAGCAGCTTTCACCAAAGTCTGGCACTTTTCACTTTTGATGACCTAAGCAATGGCTCTCTGGTTAACATTTAGTTTTAAGTAGATTGCTCTAATATTATTACAAAGTACTTGAAACTTCAAGCCTAAACAGCCATCCTAACTGGAGTTTGTTCTTAAAGCTCCAGAGGTTTTCTCTGCTAGGCAGAAATATTCCCATGTGACATGAGAACAGTGTCAGAGCATTCTGAGCACCTACCCAGTTTTCTCCACCCAAATCACTCCTTGAGATCAGGATTTCAGATCCCCAGGAAAACGCTCATGGTGATTTGTGGAGCTGTGAGCTCCCTTACACCTGTCCTTGACACGAAAGCAGTGGTTGTAGAGCAGACACTGCATGTGTGTGTGGGGCTCTGCCATGCAGGAGCGACCAGAGGACTCCCACTCAGTGACTGGGGACAGGAAAGGCTGAGGGATAGCACCCAGAAGGATTGGCTGGGACAGAGAAAGTTTGATGCTCTGCACTCTGATTTCTCAGTGGAGAAGCCCTGGAAGAACAGATCTCCTCAAAAGGCATTACAATTGCATGCAGAGGACAGGTCTTCCCTAAAATTGGGGGACCACCATGCAGGGAAAATGTCTCCTGGAAAAAAATTGAGGAGCTAATGGTCAAAACCACTGTCCTACCACAATAACACACTCTGGAAAGAAGGACAGAGGCAACAGGATGAGCAGAGTAGAAGGCACGAAGAAGAGATTACACCTTAGGAACATTCAGTACATTTTTGGTGTCTGGGGAAGACAGAATAGCACACCATCCTCCTGGCAACACAAAGACTGCTAAATGTTACCCTAGGACCCCCCAGGGACATTCCATCTGACTTTTCCCCACCTCACTTCGGGAGCAAGAGGTCCCAGGAAAGCCCAGCTGCCCACCCCAGTCCTTCCACTCTCTCCTACCTGCTGAGCTCGCAGCAGAGCAGTCCTCCTGTACATGTAATCCTCCGATTTGATCACGTACACCATCTTATAGGAGTTCAGTTTGAATTTACACTCCAGCTTGTCCAAGCTCTCCACGTTCTCCATGGACTTCTTACTGTTTCCCTCCTTCCCTTCCTTCTCCTGCTGCTCCCGACCACGCTGACACTTACGGATCCGCCTCAGATTCCTGCAAACCAGAGAATCCCTCTTGGAATTAGTGCCCACCCTCTAGGACTGCTAGACTGGAAGTAGCTGGTGGATCTGCGCTGGCCCCTCAAGAACCTGACCAACAGTTTGTATTAAATTCATTCAGGTTCAGGCCCCTACAAGTCGCCCCATGGGACTTCTGAAACCATGGTTATTTGCAATCAGTTCCTGGTGTAGCACTGGGTTGTTTTAGGTAAACCAAGGCAGGAGTGCCAGAAAGCAGTCTGGTAAGTCCCCAGCCCTCACCCTCTCTGCCACCTGCAGATCATGCCATCTCTCAGTCACTGGAGAGCAGGAGCCCAGGGTGGACCCACAGGCTTTCTGGACAAGCAGCAGCACGGTACCTCTATGCCACGCTGCCAGGGTAATGGCTTCTGTAGTGGCATTAAAACACAGGTGAGACCAAAGGCAGCAGGAAAGTGCAACCCTCTGCCCTCCAAGGGACAAACCCATCGGGGAGGGTTCAGCCCACAGCCTGGCCACTCACCTGGGCAGGAAGACAGGTTTCTGGGCCAGGTGCTCCCGGAGCTCAGGGGAGGTAGAGTCGGAGTTGACGTACCGCTCCACGTAGTCTGACCAGCGCTGGAAGTGAGCACACAACAACATCAGACACTGCTTTCCCACTGAACCACGCGGGGTGATAAGGAGGCTGAGCTGCAAGTCACACAGGAGAGCACCGGGACACCTCCGAAGGCTCCCTGTATTTCATTCCTACAAAGGCAGGTACGGTGCTTCTCTTTGGGGTTTTTTGGCTTCTCTAATATAAAATAAACCAAGGATTTACCTACTCACATCACTGAAAGCTTTGCAACGCTTTGTTGATGTCTCTATCTTGTGCAAACAACTGACTGGACATCCTCATCCAGTGCACCCTTGACCATCACAGTCAGCTCTGTGGCCAAGCAGCTCTTACCTCTGCTTCTACAGGGTCATCAGAGTTCTCCTCCTCTGTGTCCAGCAGTTCAATGGTTAACTGAACCTGGCCTCTGCTCTGGATGAACATCAGCTGTAAGGCAAAAGGGATTCAGTGAGGTTTCAAACAGAAAAAATATACCCCTCCACTTCTCTCTGAGGCAAAGGGACAATGAAGCAGCTTGCACAGTCTTAAGGCAAAAAACTGCTCCCTGCATTACTGCCAGCAAAGGGAAAGCGCTGGCAGCACTGCACGCTCTTTGAGGAACAGAAAAACGTTCAAGCTTTTGGAAAAATCCTTTTGTGTTGATTTTGGAGAGGCACGAGTCTCTCGTGAGCCCCCAACCTAAATTTGAAGGTAGAGAGATTATCCACACAGACTTTTCTCTAGAGTACTGTGCTAGCTCAGAAAGGGCCTGACCACTTCCTGCATCTTAGCAAAGAAAGCATGGATTTGATTAGCACAGCACACCACCTTTATTCATCCATGCGTACAGTCAGCAGTGATTTAATGCCCAATTGGTATTAGCAGATCTTTCCACAGCCCACAGAGGTTGAGACACAAGAGAAATGGGAAAGTTTGAGCTAACAAATTCAAATGGGAGACAGCAAATCAGTCGACGTGAAGCATCAACATCCTTGACTTTGCCAATTGGGACTGATGCAGTTTCTGCCACGGAGCAGCTGATGACGTGCTGGAAATACCACCAAAGCAGTGCTGAAGTTTGGGGGCACAGCACCAAAAACTTCCTTTCAACTTTCCGGGCTTGCTGTAGCTGTGGAAACCTCAGGGCTCTTGGGTGCTTAACCTGTGCTCCGTTTTCAAAGGACTGGCACCTACTTTACAAAGCAAGCCCTTCTCTGCTCGCTGCTTTCCCACCTTGAAGCAGTTCTCCTCCGACATGAGCTGCTCAGCTTTGCGCTGGTAGGTGGCCTCCAGAAGGTTCCGAGAGGACTGCGAAGCCAGGAGGCCTCCTGTGGCCCCGTTGTTGTTTTCTGACAGGTAGAGGTCTGTGACCTGCACGCAGATCTCATCGCTCACTATGTGCTGGAGCTGCCAAAAGGAAGAGCAAGGGGAGAGTGAGCGTGAGGGAGCTGCTAAAGCCAGGCTGAAAAAAAGAGAGACCAAACACTTTTGTGCTCAGTGTATCCTCTTGCAAAAGGTATTTCTCTTCGCCTGAGGCATCTGGGAGAGCTTGCTGTGACATGCAAACCAGGGCGACCTACCAAAACCCTCAGTGCAAGAACCAGCTGGGAAAGTGAGAAAGGCTCCAAAACACCCTTTGTAAGTGGCACCTGGCATGAAAGAAGAGCAGCACACAGGGTTGCACGTACATCTCTATTTGCCTGCATTGCAGGTTCTAGAAATAAAAGCTACAGTGGATAAGGATGGACTCGTTGGCTGGAGGCTGCCACGTGCCCATCAGCATACAATAGCAAGAAACAAAGATGTAACCCCATTACACCCCATGGGAAAAAAAAAAAAGGATAAAAAAAGGTTATAAAAGCATGAGTTTAAGGCTACATGTTCAGTAAACTCTTCCAGTGGGGATGTAAAAGAAGAAACAGCACTGCCTTCTAAATTAAAAAAAGCAGGTGGCAAAAAGAGGAAAAAACTACGTGCAGGAAAGCCTGTGAGCAGCAGCAGGGTGGGAAGGGCTGTGCTGTTCTCAGCATGGGGCTGCTACTGTCTGTGAGGACAGCGGGGAGAGATGATACCTCACTTTGTGCAAGTTAAAAATCGGAAATTGCTCAACTGTCTTTTCAATTCAGTTAAGCTCTGGACTGAAACCAAGAGCTTCTGAAACGCTGCTCCAACAAGGAATGGCCTTTCAAGCAATCCCACTCCCTGCCTCTCGCATCTGGCTTTGCTCTTTACGCTGCAAAAAGGCGCATGAAGAATTCTTCCCTTGGTCACACATTCTTTCTATGTGCCCAATAAGAGGACTAGAATGTAACAACCAGCCTGAGCTCCTCAAGCAGGCAGATAAAAGAGACAAAGCTTTTTAGAAAAGGCACGCGCTGCTCTCATAGCATTGAAGAGAATGAAGGAAACTATTTAAATGCTATTTAATTCTTTTTCAAAGTTAAGGCAAGATTAGCTCCACAAATGCTTTCAAGTGGAAAACTTCTATCCCTAAAGCTTCAGGAAAACAAAGGGAGAAGTCCACATGCAGAGAAAGGATATTCCTGATAATTTAAACACACCAGAAGTTACCTTTCATCACCTCTCCTTCAAGCAGGCTCAAAGCTGAGTTAAAGCACATCTGCAATTCAGCTGCTTATCCCCAAAATGCCACGTCTAGGTGACCGACACACCAGCACTCACTCAGGGACACAAGCAACCTTCCCTCCTCTATCCTGGCACACAGCCCCAGCCCAGCCAGCACCCACCTGCCGCACGATGCTCTGGATCAGCTTGTCCATGGTGAAGGCAATGTAGGCATGAATGGTGAACATCTCACGCAGGGAGTCCTCGTACTGCGACGAGTCCATGTTCCCATCCAGCAGGTTACGCACCATGTCCAGGAACGCTGGGTAGTAATCCTCCACATCGATGTCCACTGCAACACAAGAGCAAGAGGGGTGAGCATGGAATGCCAGGAAAGCCCTTCCCACTCCTCCTAGGACAGGATGGAGCAAGAGCTCCAGCCTTCAGCCAGCTCTGCTACTGGAATTTGTCATATCTTTTAAAGACCTTTAAGCCATGGGTACTCTCACATCCTCTGCTCTTCCAGCCTCCTCCATGAGGTCTCTGGTTCCGAAAGGCTTTTAGAAAGTTTGTCATTAGGGGACTCAAGGATGCTTTAGATAAGCAAGTGTGCAATTAAAGCTCTCATGAAACAACTGCTGCATGGTTCTGTTCTGCTGCGACTCCCTCCTGCCTCACATCTTCCCATCTCAACTCCCTGCTGCCCAGTGACAGTAAAAGACAGTAAAAGCCCATCGTAGCGTCACACTGCAGCACGTCCGAGACAGCGCGCCAGCACTGTCACACACACGCTGCTAACAGAAGCACCTGTGTGCCCCCAGGATCACTCACTTGGCTCCTTCAGCCTCAGCTGGATGGCGGGGCTGTCGCTCTTGTCTCGCTTGATGCCCAGCACTTCCCTCTCCCACTCCCTCTCCCGTGTCTCCTCTTCGATCTGCCGCTCGGCCTGGGTGCAGATCCGCAGCAGCCGCAAGCACAGGATCTGATGCAGCCTCATGAAGATGTACCAGTTGCTGTTCACGTAGAAGAGGTTGTAGACCTCATCCATGCCCCGCAGCTTCTGGGCCGTCGTGTTGTTGAACATCAGCTTGGTTTTGGGAGGACTGCCCCCCACACCGTTGTGCTTTTTTGCAGCTCCGGTAGCTTCATCCACGTCCATTTCCTCTTCTTCCTCCTCTTCCACGTCTGAGAGTTCACCTCGCTGGGCAAACAGCAGGTCTGGAATGAAGTGGTACATGATCTGCTTGATTTTGTACTTGTCCTCTTTCTGGATTCCCGTCTGCCGCTTCACGTGGTGGATGATGAGGGAAGCAGCGTCCTCCAGGATCTGCTTGTCTTCATAGGCTAACGAGAGGTGCGGGCCTGTGGGAACCCCAGCGTTGTCTTCTGAAGCCTGCTCTTGCCTCTACAAGCGAGAAACAGGACACAAATTAGTCCTCCAAGCACTTCCCTCTGCCCACAAGCCCTCAGAAAGCTCTCCCAATGACACAGACTTCCTCTCTCATTACACCCCCTCGCAACAGAGGAAGCATCAGGCCTCCCTCCCACTGCTGCCAGAAGGCTCTCTGTAACAGATGCCAAAAGTTCACAAACATTCTCCCTGTTTACAAACCTCCTCCACCCCGTTTCTGTTCTAGGAACAGAGCCCACCTGCTACCAGCAGGATGACAAGCCTCCTCAGCCACAAGCAGATATCCCAACACAGAGAGCACAGCCTTTCCATGGCTGAGCATCCCACTTCCCAACCACACCAGCATCAAGAGGAAAAGGAACTGAAACTGCACGTGCAGACTATATAAGCTTGAGGGAAGGAAACCGCTGGTGACCATCTTACCTCATCATAGATGCTTTCAATCTCATTGAGGAGACTCTTTGACCTCAGGACCTTGGTGTCGTTCTGCTTGAAGTTGATGCCCTGGTGGTCCAAGGACTTCAGGTAATACTTCTCATTCTGCTCTCGCCAGACTTTATTAAATCCTCTCTGGGCTTCTCGCCACTCCTCCTCTTTCATCTTTAACCTTGGATCAAGAAACCAAGGGTGAGCTAAGAGACATAAAGGTCTCACTCCGAGCTTGCGAGGAAAGCCTGAGACCTGGGAAATGTGCATCAATGAAAGCAGTCCCACTGAAAGGAGTTTTACAGGAGCAGCACTCTGCACACCCTTTGCTGAACAAAGCTCTCTGCACATCTTTGGACACCTGAGCTTCCTGGTTACACAATCCAGAAACTCAGCTCAGTATCTCAAGCAAAGCACCTGGTGCAGCACAGCCAGAGCAGCTCACAAAACAGTGCCTGCAGCAGGGTGGGCACACTGTGACCTTGCAGGTATTGGTGGCAAAGTGGTTTCCCTTCCCAGAGACAGTAAGCTTTTGGGGGGAAGAGTACCTCCTTGTAAGTGGTGCTACAGTTGTGCTTTTAGAGAAGACTTCCTTGTTTACACACCAAGAGGATAAGGGCCTCACATTACTGTCTTAAATGTGTACACAGCCTCCTCTTTATGCATCTCCAAAGAGCTGCAGCCCCCACTCCTTTATTTTTTGTGATCGGTTGCAAGGATCTGACAAGAGCAAACTAATGGGGATCCAGGCGTGGTGCCTGAGCAGTCAGAGCCCACGGCCACGCACAGCCATGGGATTTGGAAAGGGATTGGGTTTAGCCCTGAACAATCCACACGGCACAGACATCTTCCTCATCTTACATACGCTGCCGTGCACAGGCTGGAGAAGAAACAAGGTTCAGAGCAGACAATAAAAGCTCTGCATCCCCCCCAGCTGAGCGTTTGTGTTTCCAAAGGCGACTGTTATAAAACACGGCCACCGATCAGAACGGAATGCCTTTCTCCAATTGCATCCCTGCGCAGGGTAAACCCTCCAGGGGCAGAAATGAGCTGTTTCTAAACAAACGCGGAGCGAGGAGGAGCCCCCAGCGCACAGCGTGGCTGTGGTACCTTTTCAGGACAATGGGAACAGCAACAGATGGGTTCTTCCGGAGCCCATCAATGATGTCAGCTGCTTTGTCTGCATATATCCTCTGCAGGGCCTTGCGGTGGATCACCTCCGAGGTGCCTCCCAGGGTGTTGTCCAGGCGGAACTTGGCCTGCTCCTCAGCAGACAAACGTGAGAGCTTCTTTTGGATGGCCTCAAGGACGCGGATCGTTGCCAGGTTGGTCTCCAAGACGACGTCCAGCTGAAGCGAACGGTGCGTTAGCCAGAGTTGAATAGATATAACATGATACTTCACAGAGACTAACACTAAAGCCACACGAAACAAGAAGCCGGGTGTGTTTAACAAGGTGGATTCCAGAACTGGTTTCCACGTTTGGCTGCGCTGAAATAATCCAATTATATTTTATCTGCAGCCTAGGTAATGGCGCATCAGAATTTAACGTCTACCAGAACGATGCTGTTAAGAAATTACATTTTCCATATGGGAGTAGAAAACAACTGACAGTTCCTCTACAAAAGGACTTGACAGACCTGAGCACATTGAGGTAACTGCCAAGCTAACTCTCATTTTATGTCAAGAAGTCAATCATTTAACATCCTGAACGTATCGTTCCTTGGATTATTACAGGGGAATGCATGTTCTTACAAGCCACGTGGGCACAAAGGGCAAAAAAAGATGCATTGATTATATGCTGTCCATTGAACAATTCCATCTGGAGTGATGTGAGAGAAGAGCTCGGTGCACAGAGCTTGGGCAGGGGTGGTAGCTTGGAAAGAGAAGTGGTTAACCAGATGCTGCCTCTTGCTTTCAGATAATGCAAGCTCTTATGCAGAGAACGTGTGATAGACAATAAAAACAGACTGCATTAAGGATAGAATTTGTATCATTAGCTATCCACAGAACCCCAAGGCTTCCAAAGAAAAGAACTTACCTCAAAACGCTCATCCTCACACCTGTAGATGTGCTCTTCGTATTGTGTCTTCTTGGAGCTCACAAAAGTCGAGTCTTCAGACCAGGAAGGGAAGGAGACCCAGGTGTCATTCAAAACCTTGCAGTACGACAGAGAAAGACAAGCATGACAGTCAGTCTTGGGAGGGGAGTGTCACAGAGGTACGTGGCTGCTGATGGGGGAGCAGCAAAAATGGCTTCTCCCTTCCAGTGCAGAGGACACCCAGCACCCATGGGACAACCCTGAACTGCCAGAGATGAAACAACCCAGCGGCCTGGAAAATTCATCCATTGGAAATGTAAGAAAACACTTGCAAGGGAAGAGAAAAAGAGAGGTGAAAGGAGCCTTTCCATTCCATTGGAAGAACTGGCTCACCGTGGTTCACTCATCACATGTCTGATTCATTCACCGGGTGGTCATCATCCTAACCAGCACCGTTAGACACAGCGTGGTTTCTACCTCCAAATAAGGAATATCAATCCATACTCTGACAAAGATGCTGAGAACCTGCAGTTTTTCATTACCTCCAAAGCAGGAATGGATCATCCAAAGCAACCTCAAAGAGGCCAAAAGCAACAGAACAAAAGATTTTGGTAGGCAATCTTGAAAAAAATCAAGCCTAATTTTCCTCAGACTGAAGTCTGAACAACTGAGACATTGGATTCTTGCAGAAAGAAAAGTTTACAGCTGCCTCACACAAGATACTCTTGAGAGATGTGTCAGGACTTTGATTAAAAACTTATAATTCTTTCTTGCCCGAGTTGTTTTTGCTATCCTGCCATCATTTCAATTAGCCACGTATCACTGCTCACCACTTGACTTGATCACTGCATTCATCCTCATTTCTCAAGGAAAGGAGGCAAAACTGTGATGTTCCAAAATCTTCTGCCTGTTTGCTCTTCCTGCTGACGGCAGTCACGCAAGGAAGGGGGATTCTAACACCAACGAAGGAGCAGGATCAGCCAGCACCATTCCTCTCCAACCAAAAGGCGGTTACATGAAGGGACCCAAGGAGTGCATCTGGTCCTGCAGTGCTGTGCCAGGAGGCCAGCTTTGCCCCTAGGCCAACAAGGCTTGCAATGGGGAGCCAACCTCCTGACACAGCGCACCATGTCGGCTCACCTCAGCCTTGCAGGTGGAAAGAAAGAAGCGTGAGAGGAACATGAAGGAGAAACTCTGTACAGAAGATGTGATTTTCTTGTAAGCTTGGACTAGAGATAACTGAAAGCAGACTAAGCAAGAGTTTGGTGAAAAAGGCAGCAACCACCTTGAATTACATACTCCCTGGTAGAAGTATTTAAACTTCACAGCTATTGAGGTTCTTTTTTTTCCAGACGCTCCCCAGTGCTTTGTGCAACTCTTTCAGAATCCCCAGTGGAGAAAAGCAGAGGGCAGCCACCAAAGCCCCGCCGGCACTGCATCGGGCACAGCCTCACCCTGGGAAATAGATCCTAGATCCAATCCACACGTTTGCAAGAGAGCTGAGCACTCTCACGTGCTGTGCTGTGAACAGCCCTCCTCTGGCCCAGGGCTGCTGCCTGGGAGCTGCTTACCTCTTTACACAGCGGCGTCCGCCCCGTGCACTTGGGCTGCTGGTAGCTCTTGGGCAAGGCTCGGTAGCTGGAGCCCAGCCTTTTGCAGGAGGCATAGTCTATCTCCATGGCAATCCCTTCAGTGGCCCGTTCCTTGGGATAGGTCTCCATGTGAACGGACTCCTTGTAGCCCAGAAAGTTTTTAAACCAAGTGAACAGTTCGGGGAATTTCCTGGAAATAAAAGGAATGAAGTGAAAAATTAGCTAAATAGAAAGCAGTGCACAGTGCTGAGCTGTGATACTGAGGCTAGAACTGCTTGCAAGACACAGAAGTTGCCCAAGAAGACTCCCTGATTTACCAGTTTGGTGAGAGGACCTCTCTGCTCAATCCCACTTCCACCAAGTGGGAACCAAGTACCTGTCTGTTGGTCAGGTGGTGAACAGCTGCAGTGCTATGAGAAATCAGACCTGTTGCTGGAATCGCTGCTCATCTGTTGCTCCTCCATTACATGACTGAAGGTAACGTCTGCCTTCAGAGTAAGGGAACTGCATGACACCTTTCTCAGTGCAGATATTCACCCTTCCAGTCAGGAGCACAGGTGGTAGATGGAAGAAATGCAGATTTTTTTGGTTGAGTATTTCACCTTTCCTAGCCAAAACCAGCTTCCTGCTGATGCTAATTCCAGTGGAGCTGCAGAAAGCATAAGCTCCCTGAGGCACCTTCCTTGCACAGCAACCAGCGTAATGGGGTCCCGAACCCAACTTACATTGCTGCTGCCTTCTGCATAGGAACTAGGAGCTCAAATCACAGAAACAGAGTTGCCCCAATCTGATGAGAGGATAATGATTACAGTGATTTTAGGTGATTAATACAGACTCATTCTGTACAGTACTCGAAGTTATAATTTCTATTTAAATGACAGTACTGATTATCGAGTTTGGCTTCAGGGCAAAACTCAGTTGCTCTTTGCTTTTTTTTTTGGTAATTTTAATGGGTTTGTATAAGCACTCCTTTTTTTAGGGGACATTTCCTGTGTAATTGGATAGTTGAGCTTTTCTTGAGTGAAATAATCTATGATTCCAGAGCAAGAGGCCACAATAGCGTGCTGTGGACTAATTCTGTTATACAAACCACGCAGCCACCAAGGTTGTTGGCATTTCTTTCCCTTCTGTGCATCACAAACAGATGCACTGGATTTAGCTTTTCCCCCTCACACAAAGAAGCACTTACCCCAGGAATGGGGAAACTAGCTGCACCAGCTCTGCACGGGAGATCACCTCCTGGTTGAAAATAACCAGGCAGCGAAGGAAGTTTTCATATGCCTCTGTGCTTCGCAGAGCTTTGCGGACCTTGGGGAAGAGGGGAAAGGATAAAGGTGAGAGCAGCTCGCCCATCAGCACCCAGGAGGCCTGCGTTCAACACTGTGCTTCCCCCCACCTATGCAGGACTTTGTTGGAGAGGCTCCAAGAAGCCAGAAAAGAGAAGGAAGCCATCTCCTTGCTGGTACGGCTGCCACTCAAGTGCATTGCCTTGAAGAAGAGAGCTGCAAGTGAATGAAACTCCCAGCAGCTGGACCACACACAAGCCCAGTTGTGCCTGCAGCACCACAGACCCACCTGGGTGAGGATCAGGGCTCAGAGACCCGTGTCACAGTGAGCACCCCTCCAGCCCCCCCCCCATGACAGCTCGAGTCACCACAGACACAGGGAGCTCTGCAGCCCTCAGCACGAGAAAACAGCAATTCATTCCAACACCATTACTTTTCCCATGAGAACAGTTAGCATCTACACATCAAACAGATCTATCATGATTAAGAAACTCGTCATTACAGTTACAGTTCTGCAGCAGGGATTTCTACGTTTACTCATGGGAACACCTACGCATCCTCCGAGCGATAGAGTGGTTCCCAGTCACCACCAGCTGGCTCAGTGTGCTGCAAAACATACGTCATGAGGGAGCCAGCATGGCTCTGATGCCAAGCCTTTCTGCCACAGAGCATCAGCAGCAGGTGAGAACTAGAGAATCACCCCCCCGGGGAAAAAAAATGAAAAGATACAGATGTCCATGTAAAGAACACCACCAATCTTTTAAAAAAGGCAGCAGATCTGACACAGGGGTCAGACAATACAGCTGAGGTCAAGCAGACCAATGTTATCAGCGTGGCACATATATCACAAACCTCACTGTGACAAAAAAAAAAGATCAGGATGTATGCAGGCTACAGACATCAATCAGTGACACCAGACCATGCTCTCTCAGTCTCACTGCTCACCTTCTCAAAGAACAGAGATTCTGTCCCCACGCCATGCTTGCTGGCTTCTGCCAAGGACTGGTCTTTTAAACCAAGCAGCTTTGGTTTTTTCTGTTAAAAAATAACACAAGAAAGGGCTGTTCAGCAGAGGAGTCACTGTATTTTGACCATGTATCACACAAGGGCTTCAGCCTCCAAACCACACTACTTGCTCTCAGAGAGTGGCTTTTTCAGAAGGAAACTTGTTTAAAATGTGGCCTCCACGTTAATCTATTCATCTTTAATTAGCTGCACAGAATGCCGTGTATTTGTAATACAAGGCCATATCCTTTCCTTTAACAAGCTGACTGAAACAATCACTGCTTGTAGTATCTCAATTTCTAACTAATGTGCAGAACTACCAAAATATTTTTTAAACCACCATTCATTCAGTTGATTCTTAGACCTCCCTAAAAGCAGCGAACTTCTACCTCCTGCACTCCACATCAGAAAGGCTTAAAGCTGCCTCCAAACACGTATTAATTCGCTGCATTTCGAGGGGAGAAGCTGGAAGAGGAAGGAAGTCATTGGATTTAAACAACATAGCTAGATGTGCCAACACTTTTCTTCCCCCCACAGGACACAGCACACAAAGCAGGCACACCTGTCCTAATGCAGAGGCTCTAAACCACCAAACCATTCTTCTGACAAGGCTAAGCCTTGCTCTCTCAAAACATGAGTAAGCTGAAGAGGGCCAATTCAGCTACAGGAATTATCATTCATCACTGCATGACAACATTTATCACGTGAGAAATGAATAAGCATGATCCTGCTCTAAGTTTTGCTTTAGTTTCCTGGGAAACACACAGCTGCTGAGCTAGCAGCACGTGCCATTACCTTCACTGGAGGGGTTGTCCCTGCTCCTGAGTGCCGCCGGATCTGACAGCCATTCTGGTTGGGTCTCTGCTGCTTGTTGTTAAGCTGTGGCTTCTTCACTGTGCCTCCATGATCGTTTCTCACCGACTCCACTTTCTCTGCAGTCGTCTTGCTTAACAGCTTAGTTACAAACAAAGCCACGAGATCATCAGAGCCGAGCTTCACCTCACCAGCCAAACCCTAATATGTCTGCTCCTCCCAGCTCGAGGTGACCCACCTACCTTACTGTGGTTACAGAACAACCCTTCCAAGCAAAGGAATTGTATTGAAAAGACAAGTTATTGACAGAAAACAGTCTATCATCCCGACCCACCTCCTAAACTTGGTAAAAGACCACTCCAAAAACGCAAGACAACAAGAAAAGCCCGTTGTTCTGAGCTCTGGTTCCCCACAGAGACGCTTCCCCACTAGGTACTCCAGTCCCAGCCTGCCTCAAGTAGACTCACCACCGAGCTGTTGGCATCTGGCAGAAACTGCCCAAACTCTGAGAGCAGATCCTCCTGGTTCTTGAAGAGGCGAGCCACCTGTGCGTACACCTCCTGCTCCGTCAGTGCTGGTGTGTAGTTGCCCCCTGCCTCCTTGGCATTGCGCTGCTCTTTCTGTCGTACAAAGAGAAGGGTCAGATGAAAAGATGTCTGAACTTCTTCAGAGACAAAGGAAAAAAGCCCTCAGTAATACAAAGAATGAAGCAGCAAAGGTCTCAGCATCTAAAGCAAAGGACTGTGCTAAATGCTCAGCTGGCTGTGGACTAGGGGGACGCTGATCAAAAAAGTGATTCTTCACTTTTAACACAATTGAGCTCCGCTTAGCTTGCAAGCCAGTGGTAAGCAAATAATTACTTACACTGGAAAAGATCTACACAAAGAAGTCCAGCGGAAGACCAGAATTCCCATCTCAGGCAGCAAAGAAAGTGGAACGACTCCACCTGGCACTGCCAGAGCTCACCTGATACGTATGGAGGATCTCCAGGAAGGCTTTGTAGATGTCTGGCTGCCCCTGGAAGCGGTTCTTGATCTTGTTGACATAGTTGATGGCGTGATTAAACTCGACGGGCTGATTGTTCTGCAGGGATGGTGTGGTTCCCAGAGAGATTGTCACGGGTGTGTGAGGCTGCACTGGTGGTGAGCGTGGGGACGCATATGGTGGAATTGGGGGGGTCTGCTGGCTGGCAGGTGTGTGTGCCTGCAGCTGTGATGGCTGAGGGGAGAAAGGAGGAGCCACGTCAGACAAGGGCAGATCCTTTATGCTTTGAACAAAGGCACTCGTATCCCACTTACGTGCCATATCCTGAAGAAACGAGATGGTGTGTAAGTGTACATGGTGCCAACAGGGTCATCTCTGAGCTGAAGCATCACAGGCACAGCAGCTGGACATTTGCCACTACTACACCCTGTCAAGCAATCTCTACCCATATTCCTAGATGATTTCTGATGTGCTTCCTTAAAATACTGGTTTGGGTTTTCTCATTAATTGCTACTAAATAATTACTCCCTCCCCAGGCCTAGGGAATTTTAGCACTCTCTTCCACAATCTCAATACTTCCTAGTAGACGTCTAAGCAAAAACTGCTGTCAAGAGCCAAAACTGCGTTGTCCCATTTCCCAATCAGTGTTTTAAAGATTAACAGAAGCACAAAAAAAGGCAGACTGAGCAGAAGAGAGCCACTATCCAAAGCAAACTATCCAAAAATAAACAGAAATTGGGTGTGCCAGCCAGGAAGACACAACACCAGCCCCTTCAACTTTTTCTGAGCAGCTGTTTCTCCTTGCCACTTGCTTTTGACTCAGATCTGACAAGAGATACATTCAGTCATCAAAATACAGAAGCAAAGCATTTAGGCTCTCTGCAACACTGCAAGTTACTTTGTCTCTAGTTAAGAATGCTGGGAGTAAGGAAACAGCAAGAGAAGACGCAGATTTTTCAATATGGAGACCAGGAGTACATAGAGAAGAGATTGATTAATCCTTGAAATTTTGGGGATTCTTTCCCTTCTTTGCACATTTGGAGGTTCAAATGCACCGGATTTTATCTCAACTGAGCTCTTAAAAGCCTCTTACATTACCCTACTCTGTTTTCAATCACGTAAAATACATATGGTGGACGCAGCATCTGGATTACATCTGAAGCAGAGACAAAACCCCTTTGTCGTTGAGAGGTCTCAGTTGCAGGCACACAAACTGATACTTAAGACAACACTGTGGTCATTTTATTTGAACCCTTGCACTTCAGTTAGGTCAACAACGCCCACACCCGTCCAGCTGATGGCTGAAGCAGAACTACCCTTTCTGTTTGTTTTTGTTTTGCAGCAGCTGGCCAGCCTGAAAATGAGATTTTGAGCAATGCCATGTTTCCCACGTCACTACGCCAAGCATTTGGAAGCACGCACAAACATTCACACCGAGGGAACCGTCTCCATCACGGCCTCTGCTTTACGAGGAATTTCTTGGGATTTGGGTCATCCCGAGGCAGCAAATGCCATTTAATTCCCCACCTCCACACCAGTGTCAGCTGGAGGCAGCCAGTCCCCCAGGCAGGAGCCAACAAACACCATTTGCTCACTCTCACCTTGCTGATTTTGGCAGGCGGTGGCTGCGGCGCCGGCTGTGCTGGTGTTGGGGTCGATTGCGCTGAAGGTTGCGACTGATGCTGGGGTTGGGGCTGGGGCTGGGGCTGCAGGCCATGAGTGGGGATCTGGTGAACCTGCCCCGGGGTCGTCACGTTCACCATATCGTTTGTCTGCACCTCGATCTTGTAGCCAGGAGGCAAGAAGGTGTTGAAACCCATAATCAAGTCTGGGTGGCCCTTGAAGAGCTGCGATACGCGGCTGATCACTCCTGGAGTGTCAATGCTGAGCAAGGAATAAAATCAGAACGTCACCATCTTCAAACTCCCTCCTTGTGGCAACCCAAGCTCTGCGTGCGACAATTCTCCTTCAGCATTTCTATCTTACCATCTATAACCTACGATGAACCTATGAAACACAGGGAAACTCATTCCTATAAATACATTACCAGCCTTAAGAATGACATAAGGATTATTTTATTTGTTCGGACTGCTTTATATCAATGAGATCTAGCCACAAGTCTGACCAGGCAGGCGGGCAGGACCACCAGACAGCCAGGTGAAATAGCTAGCAAGGCTGAGCTTGGGAACTGCAGCTGTAGGCAGCAATTCTTCCAGTATCAATGAAGAAATGGATATAAGTGAAGAAATTCTGAAACTCTCAGAACAGATCCTCAGACTCTCAGAACAGAAAGCACACAACTGCTTTCACACAACCACGGAGGTATGCTGCTCTGGAAAGGAAGGGCAGAGTTGAACTCCTGCTCTGTGCTGCCATGCCCACAAACATGCATACAGTGATAGCAGCCTGGGTGGAAGCAGCAGAATGAAGCTTTTTACCTCTGAGATTTGAATTCCTTCATAATATCCAAGAAGTCATTGTAGACCTGCGGCTGACTGCCGAACTGCAGCTTCACCTGGTCAAGATATGACAACGCATCCTCCACCTGGAGACAAAACAGACAGCTTGCATTGGCACAGAACATTTTATGTCACCTCTGGTGCTCAGCAAAACACGTATTCGAAAGCACAGCTGGGAGCCCTGAGCCTAGAAGGGGGAATTAAGGATCGTGATCTTGGTTGGAGTCATACCAGCATCACTTAAATAAGAACAGCTCAGAAAACTACACCAAAAAGAAGAAAAATAAATAATAATAAATAAACCAAAAACAACTCAAATCAACAGAATTAGTCAGAAGGCACATGCTCCAAATTCCCCGTGTCACCACCAGTGATGTGACTGCTAGGATAAACAGAACTAGACTGAGCATTTTTCCTGCATGCATGTGTGGAAATTATTATAGAAGTCTAAGAATAAGCAGAAAGTGGAAATGACATATTCAGAGGAATAGATGCCTGCCAGGTACACACTTTCTGAAAGCCAGACATTTCAGTTCGACACATAAGGATTTTGAAAATGGCAACTGTGGGAGGCAAATTGTTTTACGCCTCAAACAGCAAGAAGTTTATGAACCATTCGTGTACCAACAGCCAATTTCCAGATATACTGAAAGCACAGCCCAGCCTGACACGAGTGCTCTGTGCAGTTTGTAATCAGCTGCACCTGGGCCCTCTCCCATGTCGGGAATTAAAAGACAGCAAGGGAGGAAAGGTGAGCAGGGACAGTCCCAACCTCGCATCTTGGAGGGACAGCCAGCAGTTTTGTTGGGAGAAAGAACCACGTGTTACAAAACCATTTTCAGAGGGGAATGGAAATGAAGCAGAAAAGCGTCGCGCCCAGCAAAGCACTGGTTTCCAGCTCGACAGGAAGAGACCTGCCCTGCATGTGGGACAAGCTATCAATTCATATGTATGCCTTGTTGCTAGAGCCGAATCTAACGCAACTACTCACAAGGGCTACTTTTGGTGGAGTTTTTTCTCTTTTAAGGATTTCACAGAATATAAAATACAGCCTTCTGCACTCCCACCTCACTCCTGCACTCCCACCCTCTGAGGCCACGCATTCAGAGAAGCCCCAAACCTTTGGGCTGTCCCACGCACGTTACCTTGAGCCTCTGGAACTGCTGCTGGCCCTGCACAGGCACAGCCGGGGGGGCTGGGTGTGCGTGGCTCTGCACCACCTGGCTGCCATGTGGCTGCACAGGGGCGGCGTGGTGGTGGCCGCTGTGCACCGCTGCCAGGGCCGGCCCGTGGCTGCCTGAGCTCTGCGGCACGGCTGACACCTGGAGAGACAGAAAGGACCGTGAGTGTTTGTCTCATCACCAGTGCTAACAGAAGGAAGAAACGCCCAGGGTGCGTGATTGAGACTGAGCCAAGGCTGTCTCTCCCCTCTAAAAAAGTTGGAAGGGATCCTAAAGCCCTCCCCCAGCACCATTCCCCTGCTGCAGGCTGGTTGCTCCCAGCTCAGGCTGCCCAGAGCCCAACCACGGCCTTGAGCACCTCCACGGATGAGGCACCCACAGCTCTGGGCAGCAGTGCTGGAGCCTCATCACTCTCATAGTAAAGAATTTCCTCATAAAATCTGATCTAAATCTCCTCTCTTTTAGTTTAAAAACAGCAGCGGAAGCCTCTCAGAACAAAAAAAGGCACCTAACCTAACCTGTGGTGACATCTTCTCTAACAGTTCAATTGCTTGAAAACCTCCAATCTAAATGTCAGCCTGTTAAGCTTAAGATCACCCAAGATATCCAAAGTCTGTGACAGGGACACTGCTAGAACAAGTGTTCTCTTTGCTAATGAAACACGGATCTAATCTCCACATGCACTTGTCTCTAGGATTCAGAGACTGTGATCTTAATCATTCAAGAGAGTGTTGTTCAAAAGAAGCCAAGTAACATCACGTTGTGTGGTCAGGGCAACCTTAATGTGCTTCACAGAATCACACAGAATGGCCTGGGCTGGAAGGGACCTCAAGGATCACAAATCTCCAACCCCCTGCCACAGGCAGGGCCACCAACCTCCATACTTAACACCAGCCCAGGCTGCCCAGGGCTCCATCCAACCTGGCCTTGAACACCTCCAGGGATGGACGGGGCATCACAGCCTCTCTGGGCAGCTGTTCCAGCACCTCCCACTCTCACAGTAAAGAACTTCTCCATGACATCCACCTAAATCTTCCCTCCTCCAAACATTTTCCCTGCTGTTATCTCCCCTTTCCAAGAGTTGACTCCCCTCCTGTTTGTAGGCTCCCTTTAGGTACTGCAGGCTGCAATGAGGTCACCTCATAGCCTTCTTTTCTCCAGGCTGAACAAGCCCAGCTCCCCAGCCTGTCTTCGTAGGGGAGGTGCTCCAGTCCTCTCATCATCTTACTGGCCCTCCTCTGACCCACTCCAACAGCTCCCTCTCTTTCTTGTGTTGGGGGCTCCAGACCTGGATGCAATAGTCCAGATGGAGCCTCACGAGGGCAGAGTAGAGAGGCACAATCACCTCCCTGTCCCTGCTGGCCACCCTTCAAGTGAGACCTACTAGAAGTTCATTGTCCCATCCTAGTTTTTTCCCCCCACCAGGCAACTGAAACAAAAACCTTGTCCCAAACCCAGACTTCCACCGTGCAAAACAACATACTGAGTGGTCGAATTGCAATTTCCCCCCTAGGACGTGGCAGACCTACCTGGTAGCTGGGAGTTACCGAGTATTGGATCCCTGTAGCAGACTGCATGGTCTCTGACACTGCCTCATACACCGGCGGTGCCGGGGCGAGCACACGGTGCTGGTGCTGGAAGGCGTCGGTGCTGCTGGTGATACGTCTCTGCTGCGACGTGTACACGGGTGACTCCTGCTCATCCAATCGTCGCTTCATTCTGAACTCATGCTCGGGAAGCACTAAAAAACCTGGTAGAAACAGAGCAATTAGAGAGGGACATTGATTAATCGCTCCCTGCCAGCTTCAGGAACGCCAAGTTTGCCAGGAGCAGGTAAGACAAGCTTCGTGTCGATTCCTTCACGTCGCTATCTTGATAGGGAAAGAATTAAGATTCAGCATTCTGTATGAAACGTGTATACTGCAAACACGCAGCTTTCTTGTTAGAAATAAAGCCCTGCTTTCCAGTTAAGGATCTCTTCTGTCACTGAAAGTAAAGCCCATCCTGAACCCCGTTGGGCAGCCCAGGCTGGATGGGACTCAGGCACCAGAGATGCCCTAGAGCACAAGAGGAGGGCAGAGGCAAAACACTGCCCATGCTGCCTTTGTACAGCAAGCACTCTCCAAATCAAACTTTTAGCCAGATGGAGATGCTGACTCTGCCTGGCTAACACATGCAGCTCCCCAGAGTAAGCGTACAGGGCAGCCTAAACCCTTCGCTAACATAACAGACCAAGGTACTGGGGAAATATACAAAGATACTGCCAAAAATACACCTGGCAGCCAGCTCCTCACCCAGCTCCTTCCACGTGGAGGGAAGAGCTCTTTGTGTCTGCTTAAAGCTGTTCTGCAAGTTACACCTCCCAGAATACCAGCCCCAAAGCTTCAGAACGTACCCGAGCGTGCTCCAGGAATTTTCTTAGCTTGTTGTACCTGCACCAGGTGTCTTTCTGCTCAGCTACAGACAAACCAACAGCCCCCTGGGCTCACAGGGAGCTGCTCTCATAGCCTTTCGCTCTGAACAAACTTTGAGTTGTATGCTAATGGAGCCTGGACCAAGCAGAGCAGGCTGGCAGTGAATCCGGGCGCTTTGCATGACAATGCCAGGCCCCGGGCACCGAGTCTGGGCAAAGCCTTGGTGGCAACCATTTCTAGAAGGCTCCACAACCTGGAACTGAAGCCCTGGGCTCTGCCGACAGCCAAGCATTGCACCTGCCCCAGCTCCTGCATCTCACAGGGGTACATGTGCTGGTGAAAGCTCCCAAAGTGCATTCCTCCCATCCCTGAGGTCCCCACTGATCTTTACCAGGTATGTCCCAAGGATTTGCTCCTTCAGGAGGGCAGACTGCAGCGTAGCAAGCTGTACCTGCTGCAGAATAGTATTCTGTGGGTAACTACGACCACAAAACCACTCAGAAGTTCTGCAGCACAGAGCTGACATCACAGGCAGCGCTATGGTTACCATATGGTTCTCTAGGCAGCGGAACACGGCCCTCTGATGGGCACCCATCTCCATGCGGACTTTGACTCAAACATTCAGAAAGCCCCCAGTTCAAACTGCATCATCTGTGGTCTTAATTGAGGAGGGAAAAATAAAGATTGAAAAATACAGTATGGTCTGCGTGAGACTGAAAGCAAGTCCACAAACTTTAGGTACTGTTCTTCATTAAAAGCATTCATCTGAGGCTCCTGGCTCAGGAACGGCTTTACAGAGCAAGCTCCACTCTACACAGACCACATGAGGACCTGCATCCCCTCCCTCCCAGCATCACTCCTATCCAAGCTACCTTTTAACTTCAGTCAGAGCACTCCTTTACAGCAATATACCCCTCCACAGGAGGACAAAAGCTGCACTCTGCTTTTTCGCTTCCCTTTTCCTGGGCTGTAAGTTATCCCTTTGCAGGAGGGCAGTGAATCGTGCAGGTCTGCTGTCTGACACCTGTTGGAGCCACAGCACTTCTGCACACTAATGATGCTTTCAAGAGCAAGCTGTGAAACCTCACAAGAGATTTCAGTCCTTGCAGATGTGAGGCACTCCTGAAAAGGAAAAGGGAAACAGCATAGCTGCAGGTCAAGCATTTAAGATGTGCAGGGGCTGCTTAAAAGCCCTTAGGAGGCTACAGCATGCCACAGGCACCCTGTGAATCTCTATGAACCTCTAAAAGGGAGCACTCATGCCACTAAAAGCCACAGATGAGGAAAAATCCTATGCAGCAGGCACACTTTTGCACATCACTTGCTGTCTGAGCATGCTGAAGAACACCCAAACGCACAGATCCTCATACTGACAGCTCTGTTGCTGTCACTTTGAATTTCAAGCATTAACATCTGGATTGAGCCGTACCGAAAGACAGGAGAGTTTGCTCCCGAGGTGGAAAGGACCCAAAACTGGGAAGCAGCACACATATGGCTCAGGATCACAGAGGTGTGACATCCTGGCTGCCTGCTCCTGGCATGCCCTGCTATGTGGGCTCTTCCTGAGCCCTGGCATCCTCATCTTTGCTCTCCTTCTCCACACGCAGGCAGGATGAGCACAGTACCCGCAGCCACCCATTACCTTCACTGTGTCACAGTGAAGAGCCAGAGGAGCTGGGAGAAAGTGGCACGGCATTGAGAGTGCACCCATAGTCCTGCAGTGTGGAACAGCAGCCACAGGACTGTGGATCTGCTTTGGCTTTACCAGCCACGAGGGCTTCCCAGCACAGAGCATGGATCATACATCCTGGGAAGGCGAGTGACTCGCTCCTGTCATGGTTATGCCTTTCCAACGAGCTCACAGCAGAGACTGCTGGCCACATTCACAGCGTGAACCATTTCTTACAGCACCTGTTCATAGCAGTGCTCTTGTGCATACTTAAATGCAAAGGGATTGCATTCTTATTTATGCATCGCTTCGCTGGGCGTGCTGAAGGTTTCTATACAGCCTCCCCATCCCCTATAGATCATTCAGGAGACACAGAATTTGGGGTTGAAGGGACCTGTGTGAGTAGAAGGGGAGGTCTGGGTGCCTTCCGGCCCCTCCCCGCGCTGCAGCCCCAGCTTTACTCACGGTGCCCCTCAGCTGGGAGGGGTGGAGGGGAGGAAGGTGCTGGCTGGGAGATGGCAGCCTCCTCCGCCCCGTGCGGCTGTTCCTAACGCTGTGCTTTTAAGGGATGGGGATGATCCTACAGGTGCTTTGAATCAGCGTGCGGGCAGCGCGGCGCGGAAACCCTCCGCGTGCTCGCCGGGAACCGTCTGAAGAAACGCGAAAGCAGGAAACGGGAGCTGGAAAGGCACGGGTGGTGGGCAGGGCCCGGAGCTGCGAGGGTTGCGCTGAGCGGGGCGGGGCGAGGCGGGGCTGAGGCGGCCCCGCGCAGGGGGCGGAGCGGGGGGCGGGAGGCTCCGTCCCGCAGCGCGCCCAGCGCCGCTCGCCCCGCCCGCCGCTCCCGCCATGCCGGGCTCCCCCCGCGCGCACACACACACACACACACACACACATACAGAGACACGCACGCACACCGGCACTCAGGGCTCGCCACGGCACCGGGTCCGACCCCGCCCCGCCGGATGGCTGCCCACCCCCCCACACCACCTCCCAGCCCCGCGTCCCCCCAGCGCCGCCGATCCCCTTACCTCGAAGCGGCGGCGCCCGGCGGAGGCACGCTCCCTCCCGGCTGTGGGCTCGGGGTGGGCGCGGCCCCGCGCTCGGCCCGCGGGGAAAGCGAGGGGCGCGGATGGGGTAACCGCCGCTCGGCCGCCGCGGCGGAACGCTGCCCGCTTCTCTGTTCCCCGGGAAATCCCGCCCCTCCCAGCCGCAGGGAGGGGGGAGCCCCGCGCGGCGATTGGTCGAGCGCCGAGTCGCTCGGTGCGCCGCCCAACCGCCGCGCTCGGCCCGCCCACTTCGCCCGCCCCCATTGGCCGCGGCCGCCAGGAAGGGGATGTGGAGAGGAAGGGGAGGGGGGAGCGAGCGCCCGAGAAAAATGTCCGTACAGCCAGCGCGCTCCGCCCCCTCCCGCCCCCGCAGCCTCCCCATTGGGCGGCGCGCTGCGGACACAGCCAATCTGCACGCCGGACAGCGCCGCCGTCACGTCGGGGGAGTAAGCCACGCCCCCTCTCCGGGGAGGCCTTTTGTGGAATGTTTACATCGGGGCAGCGCGAGGCGGCCCGGGGCCCGACGGCGCCCATTCGGGCGCCGTCGGGCCCCGGGCCGCCTCGCGCTGCCGCCTTTTGTCCCCCGACCCCTCCACTTCCGGGAACCAGCACGTGGGGGGGGGGAACACAGCGCGCAGCCAATGGCCGCGGGGGGCGTGGCCGCGCGGCGGCTGAGCGGGCGCTCCCCACCCCCTCCCCTCACACACATCCGCGCCGCCTCTCTCCCTCCCCCCTCCCCCCCCCCCTCCACCCCTTCCCTTCTCGCGCGCGCTCGCGGCGACCGTTAAGCGGGCGGGAAAACGGCGGGCGCGCGCCCCCTTTTCTCCCCCTCAGCGCTTCCCGCGCCTGCCTCTGAGGGGCCCGGCGGGCCGGCAACGGCTGTGACATACCCAGAGCGCGCAGCGAGGCGTCCTGAATGGAAAAGGGAACCTCCCCCAGGGGCCCATTGGCCGTACGCGGCCGTTCGTCACCAGCGGACCGCCCTCGGGGTTTGTGTGGGGCGGGGCGACGAAAAACCAGCCTGGAGATGAGATCGCTCCTGGTCTGCTCGCTTAATGTTAAATACCACAAGAAAACAAAACGAAAACCAAAAAAAAAAAACCAAAAAACAAACAACAACCAAAAAACACAACAAAAAGCTCCTCCCCCACGCTCCGGGATTATAAAAAAATAAGAATATACACATTCGAAGAGCTTAATACAGTATAAAGTTCCCGATGCAGCCGTGCTGGGAACGCATGCCCTCAGGGCTCTGTGTACAAGTCTAGATGGTCCCTCCGAGAAGAAGAAAAAAAAAAAAAAGGAAAAAAATTACAAAATCAACCACCCCAACCCCTTTTTTCCCGAGCCTCCTCCTGCCCCGGCTTGCTTGCTTGAAGTAAGGCACGGTTCCCAGCTGGCAGGGCTGTGTCAGTGCCCGGCAGAGCCCTTCTGGGCGGCAGGCAGCAGGCCGCGGCGCTGGGCGTGCTCCAGCACTGCGCTGTAGCAGAAGAAATACTGCTCCGGGGTCTGGATGCTGAAGGCACGCTGCGTCCTCATGCGCTGCACCGTCTGCTGGATGTCCAGCGTGCCCACGTCCTGCAGCTGCGACAGGCAGATGTCCAGAGCGCACAGGGTACCTGGGGACGAGGTCGCTCAGCTCACACGCTGCAATGCAACGTCCCCCCCTCCCCGGCACCGTGCTGCGCTCCTTACCCGTCCTGCCGATGCCGGCGCTGCAATGCACCACGAGCGGAGGGCCCCCCGGGTGCCCCTTGAAACGCGGTCCCAATGCGCTGACGGCCACGCGCTGCTGCTGCTTCACGGCCCCCAGGAAGTCAATGAGCGTGGCTGCCGATGAGGGCACGCCGTAATCCGGCCAGCTCAGGTATTGGAAGTGGGAGAGCAACCGCCGCTCTCTGCCCTGGGGGTGAGTGGGGGGCTCAGTGGGATGGAATAGCCCCACGGCACCCACTGGGCACCAACACCTTAACACACACACCTCGGCACTGTGGAGCTCTAGGACGGTTTTCTTGTAATGGCTGAGGTTTTCCACGCCCAGGTTGGTGACGGTCAGCACCCCGAAGCGCATCTGGAAATCCTTCTCCAAGGGCCAGTACTGGCCGCACTTCTTCCTGCCCCCCTCCTCCAGCCTGCGGATGGGATGTGGTGACATGGGGACAATGTCCTCCCTGACAACATCACGTGGTGCCCTGCGTCCCCCAAGTGCCCACAGCATCCCTCTGCAATGCTCTGTACTGGGGCAGCTCTTAGGGACACCAGGTATGCGGGCTGCAGAACACAGCTAGCTCTCCTCTGCACTGCTCAGAGGTGCTTTCAGGATGTCCCCTTCCTTTGGGATGCAAAGCGCTCTCCAGCCGTGACAGCAGTTGATCCAATAGCAAAATCACTTGTTTTGCCACCCAGGGCACTCACCGAGTCGTCATCACGATCACCAGGACGTTCTGCTCCCACACCATGCGCCAGAAGTCACCATAGGTGTTCTCCAGGGGCCCTGCAGGGACAGCCTGCTGTCACTCGGTGAGGCTGGGCAGGACAGGCAGTCCCTGGGCATCCATGGACACGGGAACCACACAGAGGGTGGTGACACACTGAAACAGGTTGCCCAAGGAGGCTGTGGATGCCCCATCCCTGGAGGCATTCAAGGCCAGGCTGGATGTGGCTCTGGGAAGCCTGGTCTAGAGGTTGGCGACCCTGCATATAGCAGGGGGGGGTTGAAACTGGATGATCATCGTGGTCCTTTTCAACCCAGGCTATTCTATGATTCTATGAACACACAGCCCTTACCTTGTGTCCCGATGTACGCATTCCTCTGCTTGTAGCCATCCATGAAGCTGGCATTGATGTAGTCGGTCAGCTGGGGACAACGACATGGCATGAGTGCACCACGGGCATGGCTTCAGCGTGAGCCCCTGGGCTCAGCTCCAAGCAAGCAAAATGAGCGAGAAACCAGGTGCTGGGTGTCAGGGATGGGCTGGTGGAACGGTGCAGGACGTGAGGGGAGCTCACCTCTGGGCGGCTGTAGGGCTTGGCCAGCTTCACGCGGGTCTGGTCCAGGCAGGGCACGTCTCCATAACGGTTCTTCTCCTGGTTGTAGGGCGCCCTGGGGCAGGGACAGGGCAGGGCAGCGGGGCATCCCAAGGCAAAGCCCGGGGCTCTGCTGCCATCGCCTGGCCGCAGCCCGGGGAGCGGCACACACCAGGTCCCCGCTGCCCCTCCCGCCCCACTCGACTCACAAGGAGCAGACGAAGGTCCCAGCCGGGCTCCGGCGCCGGATGTCCTCATACTCCTCATAGATGCCGCGCTTCTGCTTGCGGCTGACGTGCTCCAGCAGCTCCTGCGGGGTGAGGGCCTTGGGGCCGGGCACGTGGAGCGAGCCGTTGTCGCGGGGGGTCACCAACGGCACCAGGATAAGCTCATCCAGGGGGTCGGGGTGCCCGTTCTGCTGCGGTAGGAAGCGGCAGTTCCAGCTGAGCGGGTCCAGCTTGAGGCAGCCGCCAAGGGTCTCAGGCAGGCACTCGCGGGGCAGGTGCTCCTTCAGCTCCGACATCTTCACCATCTGCACCTGCAGAGGACAGGCACGGGCACTCAGCTCAGCAGGCAGCAGGGCCCTCCTCAGCTCCCAGGCTGCACGCAGCTCTGACAAGCAGCAGGGATCTTTGGGCACACCGTTTCAAGCAGCAACCAAGTTTATCTTCTCCCACGTGGCTCATTTTCTTTCCCTTTAAAGCTCCCAGCCCCCAGGAGCCTGCAGCCCCCACACTCACCCTCTCACGCAGCTTCTCCTTCAGCAGCAGGCTGATGATGGAGTAGGGCACGCGGAACCACATGGGCGCTCCCACGATGAACACCTTCTTCAGCCTCGCCGGGAAGGCGCCCTGCAGACAGTGAGGGCTCAGCAGCTCAGCTCCATGCTGCAGGACTAACCCACACCCAGGGTGTCCCCACGGCAGAGACAACTGCAGGGACCCGGGGCTCCCAGCGCAGCCCACGCTCCAATCCGCACCGATTTCCATGTGGCCAGCAGAGGGCTGGACTCGGTGAGCCAGCGGTGAGGGCGGGAGCAGAGCTTTGAGCCCCAGCTGCTATTTACTAGGAGCTCTTTTTCCGGAGAAGGGAGGAGGCACGAAATGCCAGCACCATTAAAAAATAATTTGCATCTGTTTTCATGAAAGCGCTGCCAGCAGCTGTGTGAGGAATCCAGCGCGTGGGGACAGCTGATCCCCTCCGGGTGCCTGCGCCTCCCCGAGGGGCTGGGGCTGTGGATGGCATCCAACCTCCTGCATCCCCCCATCCCACCCCATTTCACCCCACCCAGCTCCATCCCATCCTATCCCGTCCCATCCCTGCTGCCGCTACCTTCAGCAAGTTGAGGATCTTCTTGCTGAGGTCCAGCTCAAAGTTGGTGTACTGCGAGCCCGCCATGTCGTAGATGAACACCAGACCGTTCCTCTGCGTCTCAAAACTGGGCAGGGGGAAAGAGCAACACCACTCCAAGATCACGCATGCGCCCTGCACCCCTCGGTGTCCCCTCTGTGTTCCCAGTGAGATGGAGCCCCCAGAGCCGCCTCTCCCTCACACCCACCCCGAGCCCATCCCAGCTGCACCGCCCATGGTGGCTCAGCCCACAAAAGCCCAGCCCCAGAAACGGGGTGACTGGGCTCTGTGTTCCAGCAGGGATCCCAGTGCCGGGGCTTTCCAAGGGCCGGAGATCCCCAGCTCAGTGACACGAGGCACACGTGGATGCCTTAACGATGCCACTGATTTTTGCCATGCCTGGAAGGCTTCTAAACAGGCCGTCATCAATCCTTGGCATGCAAACACAGTGCAAGCGGCTGCTAATAGGCTACTTGAACAGAGCTTGGCCTGCAAGCAGCGACAAAGCAGCAATACAAGGCTGGAAAACAGGGCTCAGCTCACCTCTCCACGGCCCTGTCCAGCAGGTAGAAGAGCGCCTGGAGCACCACGTGCTGCACGCTGCGGCTGGGGTGGTGCAGCTTGGCCGTGAACAGGGCGATGGAGGCCCCCGACGGGTCCCGGACGCTCTGTGGGAGAAAGCGAAGTCACGGCGTGCCCGCAGGCAGCACCGCGCTGTGCCGCATCGCTCCGAGCACCTACCAGGATGGTGAACTTGCCGCTGAGCAGCTCCGAGCGCAGCGGCTCCTCATGCGGCTTCAGCTTCACGATGCCCTCCTTGAGCCGCGTCTCCTGCGGCAGGGACACAGCGTGACCCCCGGCACGGCACTGAGGGACGCGCGGGGATGTGCGACCCCACGAGCCGCACCCCATACGTACCCGGTAGGAGTGGAAGAGCTCAATGGCCCGCAGGACGTCGAACTTGCGGGCCATGAGGAACTTGACGGCCACGTTCCAGGAGAGCGGGGACACATTGTACTGGCCTGTCCACTTGTTGATCTCTTCCAGGAACTGCTTGGTGGCCTGCAGGACAGAAGGGCATTCCCACTAGCGTCCCCCAGACTCCCCAGAGGCAATTTGATGGGGGAGAGCTGGTTGCTGTTACAAGGGTAATGAGCAAGGCTGGCACTTGGGCCGATGTTCCAAAGTGATGTCAGATGGGCCAGCGCCCAATGCGCCCCAAAATGCGATTTACCAAGGAAGAATCCCTACCCTCCTGAGATAAACCGAGCAGGAGGAGAGATATTGGGACAAAAAGCAAAATACTGCGTCACAGCCATGTCCCAGATCCCCAAGCACTGGGACAGCCCCCCTTCCCACCCGCACATCCCAGGGCGATGCTCGGCCACCAGCCCCGCTCCCGAGCCCAGCAACATCCTCCCGTGGTGACGCACGGCCGGGGAGGAAGCCGGGACGTCACGGGAGGCGCGGGGCGTGGGAAGAACGTGCACACAACCCTACACAGCCCTACACAGCCCCACACAGCCCTACACAGCCCTACACAGCCCCGCGGGCACGGGGTGGGGGGGTGGCGCTCCGTAACGGCGGCGGAGCAGAGCCTGGAGGAGACCTGGGGCGGGGATGGAGATGATGAGCAGAGGGACGCGTAACGGGAAGGAATGGGGACGGGTGGGGGGGCGTGCAGACGGGGAACGTGCAGATGGGGCGGATAAGGGGCAGACGGGGGAGTCGAGGGGCTGCGCTGCGCGTCCGGAGGCTGCGTAGATGCAGGGAGAGAAAAGCCGTTCGCAGCGCGGGTACCCATAGCAGGGGCCGGGGGTGCTGCCCGGCTCGGCCGGCACCTACCTGCTCCTCCTCGGCGCTCAGCTCCGCGGCCATGCTGCGGACGGGCCGGGCGGGCCGTGCTAGGCGGCGGAGCCCATCCCCGGAGCGGCGGCGCTGCGGGCACCCGCCCCTCCCTGGCGGCCGCTCGGCGGCGGCGGCGGCGGCGGCTCCGCCCCGGGGTGTCCGCGGCCGTGAGCGGGGAGGGAGGAGAGGATGGGGAAGGGAGTGGGGAGATGGGATGTAGATGGAGCGAAGAATGGAAAGGGAATAAGAAAGGAAAGGAGAAAATGAGACCAAAAAAAAAAAAAAAAGAAAAAAAAGAAAACGAAATACAAATACAAATCTGAAAATGAAAATAAAATAAAAACGTTAAAAAAAAAAAAAATAAAATGTGTGTAAGGATCGCAAAGCTCCGGGAAGTTCCGCTCGCCCCGGGAAGCGCCGCGCCGCTCGGCTGGGGGTTGGGCCGCCGCCGCTCCCCGCCCCGCTCCGCTCCGCCCGGCGCTGCCCCGCGGGGGCGGTGGCAGGAAGCGCCCGCAGCCCCCTCCCCTGCGCCCGGCCCGCCGATGGAGGGAGGGGCGGGCAGGAAGCGCGGCGGGGCGGGGGCTGCGGGCACCCGGGAAGCGGCGACCCGGCCCCGCTCGGCATGGGTAGCACCGAGCCGGGGGGGGAGGGGGGGGGCCGTCCCAGGGCCGGTGGTCCGCGCGCCTCAGCCGGGCCGAGGACATTTTGTTCGGCCGAGGAGCGGCGCGTTGGCAGCGCGCCCGCAGCCGGAGGGTTTGCACCTAAGTCGCAGAAAATGGAAGAAAGGGCAGAGAGAAGCGGCTCGGCTCCTGCCCCGACCGCGGTCGCAGCGTCGTGGGGCTGGCCCCCACCTCACAGCCCCTCTCCAAACGCACGCTCCCCTTCGCTCTTCCGTTTCTCCGGCCCAGAGGCTGCTTTGGGAAGGGGAACCGCGGCATCCGCGTGCTCTCGGCCATGGAGCGGAGCCCGCGGCCCCTCGCAGCTGCGTTTCTCTCCTGCCCGTCACGTCAGCACATGGCCGAAGGGCAGCGCGGGGTGCGAGCCGAGCCGCGGCTCTTCAAGAGGGATGCCCGGCAGCAGCAGAACCAGGCTGGGGACGAGCCGAGAAACAGCCCCGGGGCCGGGCTGCCGCCTCGTCCCCCCCGCCTAGCGGAGCCGGGCCGGCCCTGTCTCCCATTGCGCTCCCACCGCAGCGCTGACAGCTCCCGCTGCCCGCAGGTACAGCCCGCAGCGGCTGCGGGATCAGCCCCTGTACGTCCTATGGCACAGAATGGTGCGTTTTCTGGGGAGAAAAAAAAAACAAGAGCGTGAGGGCAGAACACGCGTGCTGCCGCTATCTGCACGCACCAGCTCTGCTCTGTCTTCCTCCTCCTGGGCACAGCCCTGCTCCGGAGGCTCTGGGAGGAGATCCCCAGAGGCACGTTTTTGCCTGGTAATTCATCTCCATGTCTCCCGGGGTTCCGTTTCAGCTTTTTAACCTCCCCGTCAAAAACAGCGCTGGGTCAGTGGGCATAATGGTTTTTTCTTTGCTAAAATTGCCACAGGGGGACACAGTCGTCCTGCCCGAAAAGCGAGTTCGCACAGGGGAGCAAGCAGGTAAGGGCTGGAACCAAACCCTTCAGTCAGTGCCACGAACCAGGCTGTTAATCCCTTGTTGGGAGGCACAGCATGCGTTCCCCCTGAGGTAGCAGGAAGGCAAGGCGCTCAAGGATTTGTATTTCAGAGAAGCCTTTTATTTGGCACAATCAATGGCAACGTTTCGAGAGTGCAATCGTTCCTTCCTCCCCCTGCAGGGAGCAGCCCGGCACGCAGGCTGGGGGCTCACGCGGAGCTGGGCTGGAGGCAGGGCTGGCTGCAAGGCAAGGAAATCGCATTTCTCAGTAACACGTGGGCATGGAAAGCCCTGCCTGGGGAGCTACCGAAGCCTGCTGCAAACTTTCCTTACTAGAAGCAGACTGACTGCAAAAAAAAAACAACTTCCATTAAGAAAGTCTCAGCCAGCGAGGGCCAAAGCACCCTGAGCACCACCCCCAGCAGGAGCACGGCCAGGCCAGGCAGCAGGGGCTGAGCTGGGAGCCCACAGCTTGAGACTGATGATTTCACACTGCAGCAAACCCGAGAGCCCTGCTAAGGACCCAGACCAAAAGAAATCCGGTGGCACGTGGAGCAACACACTCCATTCTCGTGCCCTTTAAACAAAACCATCCTATAATTATTACCTTCCCCACCTCTTGGGAAGCGTGAGTGACAGCGAGAAGCAGAGGACCTTTAGCATCTCCCTAATTCTCCATCTGACTCCCTGCTTCCTCCTGGCCCTGTGCAGCACTAGCTGGCTGAGGGGTGGACAAGTGTTCCAGCTCATAATGTCCGTTCCTAGCAGCTGCCTCGGCGCTCGGCTGAGCCTTGCCTGCTGCCAGCTTTTTACTCCTCTTGCTCTCGATGATCTGCTGGAGCTGGCGCCCAGCATAGGCTGGCTTGGCAGTGAGCGGTGTGGCAGGCACAGCGAGCCCCAGGATGTCAGGCACCATGTATGGGCGCAGCCAGCCCACCAGCGGGGTGCTGCCAGGGGTGTAGTGGGTCTGCTTGTGGTAGAAGAGAAGTCCGTCGACCTGCAGGAAGGGGAGACAGCAGATGAGAAGCTGCTGCAGGTGAATGATGCTGGGCCGCATCGCTGCTTCTCAGACACCTCTGCCAGCTGGATCCTCAAGCAGAAGGGAAAGAAGAAACCTGCAGAGCTCCTGTCCTGAATGATCAGCACGAGTCCAGCGACCGCTGGATGGCTTTAAGTCACCCAAGGCAAACAGATTTAGACTGATGTCAGCAGGGACCAGCGCTCCTCCTCTGGTTGCTATGATCCCATTCTGCAGAAAAGCCATCCAGCTTCTGAACAAAGCAGCACACAAAAAGACCATTTTACTGGATTAGGCTTATTTTAAATAATACATTTGGAGAGTAATTAGTCAGAACGTGTGACGCCAAGGAGCTCTGCTTCCTAACACTGCTACAGCTCTTTCAGCTTGCTTATGCAAAAGCAACTCTTAATATTTCCCGAGAGAGAACTCCTCCAGCAATCAATGACAGTTAAGGGCACTCAGAACTTTGAAGGTTTGGACCCCGACTCTTTGTGCCACTGTTTCCACACTGGGCAGTACTGCAGCTGGCTGATGTTTTCTGCATCTCCCCACCCCCTTTCTCCCCCCCCCCGACTCTTTTTTCCCTGTGCTTCCCAGAGGAGCACTCTGCAAGGTCAGATCCTGGTGCAGATCGACCGGCTTTGGAGGCGGTGCTCATTTAGCTCGGCCTTGTGGGCTCTTAAAGGCTATTTACCCATGAATAAGAGTGGCTGAGTGGGCAGAACAGATGAGAAGAGTCCACTTTGGACTGTCAGATGTGGCCCCAAATGCTCCCAGCCCCCCCCCCTCCCCCTCTGCAGCTGCAGGCCCCCAGCAGAGCAGCACCTACATCATATTCAGCCAAGGCATGGCTGACAACAGAGCAGGCATGCATCCATCTCTGCTCCTGGGCATTAGCTTCCTGCAGGGCCACGCTGCCTGCTGCATTACTGAAGTCCATGATTTTTAGTCACTGTGAAGAACTTGTCAAATAATTCCAGAGAAGGGGGATTCCTGTCCTAGGGGAACAGGAAACCAGCCCAATAAACAGCATGAGCTTATGAAACTGGCCGGACATCTGAAGTGCAAAGCCTCTCTCTCTCCTCACGTCCCAGGAAGACCTGAAGAGAGGAGTCAGGCTCTGTGGCACCACGCCACCACGCTCTCCTGGGCCTGCACATCCCAGCAAAAGCACAGCCCCTTCTGAGCAATGGGGACTCTGCAGAACCCACAGGAATCTTCTAGTGACATCAGCATGGGAAGACTCCTGCCTTCCAGAATGCTCCAAAGAGCTTCCCCAAGCTGACAAAACCAAAGGATTCTGCCTAGCAGAGGGGTAGGTCCTGTTACTGCTTCCCCTCATTTCTCCTACGTTACTGCAGTTCCCATATTCCTCTCATCATCTCAGTTGTTGGCCATGTCCCTATCCCCAGTCACTGCTCTGACACCAGCCTCACCAGGACAAGGGCATCTCCATACAACTGAACCTTTTGAGCAACTGGCTTGGCAGGATTTCATGTTTCGTGGCCATGCTTTGTCTTATTTCAGGTACTCCCCACCACAGAGCCTCAGACTTTGGCTCTCCCTTGCCTTTCTAGAAACTTACATGCTGTTTTTCTCAGATCCATTGGTAGCTCAGGAGCTCTTAAACAAGACGCCCTCCAAAAAACACTTCAAATTCAGTGCCAGACTGAGCAAACTTGCTTAGTGTGGTCCATCCCAGGATGCTGGGACCAGGCATAACGAGATATTACACTGCACGAGCTGTATTTTGCCTCCAGTGAAGTTCGGTTCTGGCTGCCCCGTTGCTGGAAGCTATTGACGGGGATTTCTCGGGCTCCCTCTTGCGGCACATGGTGAGCTTCATTCCTGGAAACACAGCAGCGTGCTTTCGGCAGGGCTGTCTTTGTGCCAAACTACACGGCGTTTCTCTTCTTGCTAGGGTACTGCCCTGACACATCCACCAGGGAACCGGGGGACAAACACAGCTTGGAGCACAAGGAGCATCTGCCCAGCTCCTGCAGCCCCCCTGCATTCCACAGGGGCCTCTCTCCATAAGTTGGGATGCTCTTCAGCCTTTTGTCACAGAGCAAACGCCTCAGGAAGGCATAAAGCTTTCCTCAGCAGAGGCAGAGGCAGAGGCAGGCAGGAGCACTTGTCATTAAGCAAGTCGAAAAGGCATCCCAGGTTTCCTTCAGCTAACACTCCCCTACCTGTGCTCAGAGCAGGGCCTGGCACGGTCAGCCAGCCACAGGCACTTGGACTTCCTCTGGTGACTGCCCTGGCTTTAAGGAGCAGAAGAAAAAAAGAGTCAGCCCTCACAGCCAAATCAGTCTCCTCTAAGCTTAAGCCTGCACTTACACTAATCACTAACAGGGGCCAGGAGAGCACAAGAGGCACACTAAAATCAATGTGGCTTTTGGCTTCCCCATCCTCTTCTGTTTCAGTGCCAGGTAAGCCAGGGTAGGCACCAAAAGCTGCTGAGCCATTTGCATCAGGGCTTCTGACTCACTGCTCACAGCCACACAGCAATTACCTGGCACACTGCTGCCTGTCCTGCCCTTCTTCCTCCCACAGGTCAGAGAGGCTGAGCAGCACTGCTCCTACAGCTGGAAGAGCAAACGCACAGTCCTGCTCAGCTGTTCTCAATGGTGGAACATCCACCTCTGACAGCTGGACCCAGAGGCAAGAGGCTGCTGGTTCTGGACCAGAAGCAAAAACCAGAGCTTGCACCATTCCCTCCCTCCTCCCTTCTGCCATGAGATCCAGTGGCAGCAGCAAGACAGACCCATGTGAACCCATCCCAGCCACTTCTGCTGCAGCCATTTGCCCTAGCACGTCTCAGCTGCTCATCACTGCTACGAGTTTAAACACACCGCTCTGTTTCCTCCTCAGGAGAGGTCGGGCAGCTGGATGCCACGCACAGACAGATGGTAGCATCTAGACTAGGGAGACACAGAGCCTGCGGCAGATGTCAGAGAAAGACACCAGCCTGTCTGCCTCGCAGACCTCCCAAGAAACCCCACCACATAACTGAGCACACTGTAGTACAAGCACGTAGCACAAGCTTTGACTCCCAAAAGATCAGCTGTCCATCATACTTCCACACAAATGTGAGTTTTGCTGCTTCTAGCAGCAATCTAGGCATCTGCATCAGCCACCCCCTCAAGCAGAGAGGACAATTCAAGCACAGGGAATGCTGAGGTTTAACTCTCACTGACTGCACGTTCTCACCTCGAAGGGGAAGCTCGTTGTCAGCACCTCACACAGGCTCTCCGAGGTGCAGGGGAAGTTCTGCAGGCCCACAAACTTGTACTGAGAGAACAAAAGAGGGTTAGAAGGGTAAAAATTATGTGGCTTAGAATTTGAACAATGCACTGAACTGGAGGTGGTTAAGAAGGAAGCCTTCTCTAACACGAGCAACAGGATGAATAACAGGCAGACAGAGTAACCAGACAGGAGGTCTCAGACAGAGAGCAGATCATTACATTGTTGGCCTTCCTACTGCAGGTAACCAGGGTCCAAAAGCATGGACGGGCTCCATGGAGGAACAGGTCAACCCCGACGTCTGCTGGGACAGGCAGACCTCTGCTATGATTCTAACAGCAATTCCCAAGCAAATCCTGGGTGGGGAAATCAAAGTGGCAGGACCAAGTCATTCCCTGGTGCCAGTCACACGGCACTGAAGTGACAGGAAACGCATGAAAACTTACAGCAGTCAGCTCTACCTTCAGAGAGGACAGGGATAGGAAGGGTCTGCTGCTTTACAGATCTCCTTCCAGTAATAAAAGTGACCTTTACAACAAAATCTGGTTACGACCACGTCCAGACAGCACAAAAAACAGAGTGCCCAGAGCAATCTATTTCAGGTATTTTGCATTAAGGCCACCCTAGTTCCAAATGACCCCCTCTGGCATCTTGTTAGAGATACAGATGGCAGGCACTCTGCACACAGCTCCCATGTGCTCCCGATACCTTTTCCTCAAGCATCTAAGGCTGCAGGAAGGACTTTTCAGGGGAGCTGACCCTGAGATGCTCTTTTAACCGAAATAGAAAGTGATGACCTCTGAGCAGGATGCAAAGCAGACAGATGTCTGCTCCAGGCTGCTGGCTCAGCCAAGCAAACCTTTCCACCTAGGAAATGAAAGCCGAAACGACTCCCCACCCCCAGCCCCCCTTCACTAGGTAGCTGTCTTCTGGATATTCTCGTTGGAGTCAGAACAGGATGTACTCCAAACACAGAGATCTCCGCTGCTGGCACAGGAGCCTTCATCCCCATTAACGATGAATCTGTTCCACCCTCAGGAGCTGCTCTGCTTGCTGTGCCTGGGCACACACGGGTGGCCATAGAGCAATCACAGCCCGCCTTGCAAGTTGCACTCCATAAGCCAGGCTGACAAATCCCCTTATGTCTGTCCCCAAAAAAATCACTTTCTAAGCTGCTGTGGGTGCCAGGTCTGACCTCCACACAAGACCTCAAAGACTTCAATGCTATTATCCTTGCTCAATGGGGAATTCAGGGGGCAATGCAGCATCCACCCCTACAACTTCAGGGACTGGCTCGAGCAAGAGACAAGGCTAAAACTTCATGGTCTTTTACCCCTGCTTTGTGAGCCCATGAAACTACCAACAAATAATTCCCATTGTAATCAGGCTGCCAGTCAACACTGGCCCCTTAGAAACCACGTTGGTTTTCCATTCCAAGTGAAAGCTAAAAACAGTGTGGAAGTTAGCTGATACCCTGCAGCGTGATCTTCTCCCTCAGCACTTTGGCTGGAAAGAAAAACCCACATTCATTTACAATATTCAGTGGTTCTATTTACATCCTGAACATGTCAGCCCATTGCATCAGAAGTACGCTTTGAAGCCTGATCTGTTAGGGGAAAAAACAACAAACAACAACAAAAAAAGGAGAAAAGCTTCCGCCTGTGAACAAAAGTGCTGAAGCCTGCTGAACAGGAGAGCTTATCCCACACCCTCCTCCTCCTCCTCCTCCCAGTACAAAAGAACTCACTGGATTAATCCTGCTTTTCTCTCCCAGCCCTTCCTCTTCTTGGATCTTCGAGGAGAGCCAGAAGAATCTGAAGTCGGTCTGAAAAAAAAAAGGAGACAGAGGCTGAATTATCATCCACCATACATCATCCACCAGCACTTGCAGGGCTGCAGCTCAGACCTGTGCCTCCATTCCTCTGCACTCACACAGACTTACAAGCTGCAGAACCAACTCACATGCCAGCCTTTGCTACTTCCCCAAATAACCCCCCAAAACTCCCACAGTCACTAGACTGTAAGCGACAGAGACACTGCTGCAGATATCCAAATATCCAAGCTGCTGCACATCGGGCTGTGACCAGCTCCAGCTGCAAAGCAGCTCCCAGAACAGGGAGCACAGGGGAAGGCAGATGGGAGATTCAGTACCTGGCAGTCGTAAACAGGGTGTCCCCTCCAGCACATCACATCGAGGATGTAGTATGTCTGCTCTGCTTCATTGTAGATACAGTCCAAGATACAGTACACTGCACACAAGCACAAGGAGGTTCAGATGGACTCCTCATACTGCCCAACCCACTGGGCAAGTGCCAGATCAAATCCTTCCTGCATTAAGCTTCAGCACAGATGTAAGGCCAAGAGGTGCAAAGAGAATCCCTGCTGCTAATAGGGGTTGTGACCACAAAAAGCTTTTAGCTCAAAGAATCCAGCAAGGCTCCAAGGATACACCCAGAGCCACATCAAGCAAAGGCATATTTCAGGAAATGCATTCATCCACCAGTAACACCTCCTCAAAGGAAGCAAAGCAATTGAACTAGGTATTAACAAAGATCACGCTGGAAGCAGCTCTGCTACAGAGAGAAGATGCTGAGGTTTAATTAGCCAGGTAGATAACTAGAGGAAATGTCATCTAGCATAAACGTATCTGAGATTGTCTATGTCTGCTTAACCTCAGAAATACACACAGGACATCCTGAAGCTTACTAACCCCTGCCACCAAAAAAGGGCACAATGCTGGAGCCCAGAGGAGCACCACTATGCCTGTGGGTGCACAGTGCTCACAGGGAAAAGCCAGTGGTTCTCTCCTACCTATCCATCTACCTATCTCAAAAGCCTCTTCAGAATGTTACCTTTCTCACTCGTTGTATTGTGCCGGTTTCCCCCTGGCAGCAGGGATGGAAATCTGTTGACACAGAAGCCACTCTTGGTGTAAGCTGCTGTGGAACCCTGCAAGAAAACAGGAGACAAAGAAACCTCATGAACAGGCTGTCACAGCAGTGATGGCACACGGGGTGCCGGAGTGCAGGCTGCCCCCCAGAGCCTGCCACAGCCCACCTACAGGAGAAATCTGGCTGCTCAGCACAGCTCCCAGCACCCAAACGCCTGCAGCTCACAGGGCAGCCTTGTGTTGGTGGGCACAGTAAGAACACAGACCCCAGGCACAGCTCCCTTATTGGGTTCTAAGCCATTTCTGCTGCTGTCTCTTACCCTGGAGGCCACCACCAGCGCTCTCTTCCCAACAGGACACACCACCACCATCCACTCCTGCTCCAGATCCACGGGGACATCAACCAGCCACTCAGAGAGCATCAGCTAGGCAGAAATCCAGGAAAAGCAGTCAGTGACAACCTTCCTACAGCTATGGAAAACCTGCAGCTCAAGTTGGACGGTTTTGACTCAACTTCTACAGCCACACCGTGTCCTTCAGACAATCTGCACTGCTCACCACCCCAGATCACAACACCCATCTGCCTTTCACTGAGCTGCGTACCAGACTCTTCCCCTAGGTTTCTTGCTCCCCAGCTGCTGACTAAGCTTTGGTGTTCAGCATAGTGCTCACATTACTCATCAGGGCACCCTAGCACCCTGGTCCCCACAACAACCCTTGACTTCATTTAAGTATACAGCAAAGGTCTGGGATTCCTGAATATTTGGAGAGATGAGAACAGAGCAGTGGACACCTTCAGACCCTTCAGTGCATGGCTATAGCACCTCACAGACCTCCCGGATCCAACAAAGCTGAGAAAACCCAACTACTGACGTTTCCTGCTGTCACAGATAATGGGGAGAGATGGAAACCGTGAACCAGCAGCTGCGCAACGGGACACAAGGTCACAGAACTGCTGGAGTTGGAAGGGACCTCTGGAGGCCATCCAGTGCAATCCCTCAGCGATGAACAGGGACACCTACAGCCCGCTCAGGGTACTCAGAGCCTTCCTTATACTTCCCTTCAGACACCGAAGGCCGCTCCCAGCTCTCCCCACAGTCTCTTCCTCCCGGTGCAGCACAGCCCAGCACTCAGCCTGTCCTGGCAGCGGGCCTTCCATCCCTCGGAGCCTTTTTACGGACGCGCACCCCGGTACCGAAGGCTCCCGTCCCCGACCCTGCGCTCCCCTCGGTCTCCCCTCACCTGGTTGGCGTAGCGCTTGGGCAGCCTCCTGCCGGCGTCCACCTCCATCTCCTCCTCCTCCTCTTCCTCGTCGCCATCCTTCCCCTCGTCCTCGTCGCTCTCCACGCCGGCCCAGTCCCCCTCCGCCAGCCTGCGGGCATGGTTCACGTAGTCCAGCCGCCTCCTGCGGGAAGGAAGCGCGGAACCCCGTTCAACACCGAGCCCGGCGACAAAGCGGCCCCGCGCGGCTCCCCGCCCGCTCACTCTCTCTGCAGACACAGGAGCCGCCGCCGCCGCTCCTCCTGCCCCAGCCGGTCCCCGCGGCCTTTGTACGCGCCGAGCCGCGGGTGCGGCGCCGCGGTGCTGTTGGGAGCCGCCAAGGCCACGCCGCCCGCCAGCGCCGCGCACAGCTCCTCCATGGCAACGCCCGCCGCGCGCCGCGCGCACTTCCGGCCGGCGAGCGGCGAACGGCGCAGCGCCCCCTGCCGGCGCGGAGGACCTCCCCGCGGGCCGGGGCGGCGCGACACCGGGGGGGACCGGGGGCGGGCGGCGGCGGGAGCCCCGGGGCGGCGGCCGGCAGGGGGCGGCCTGCGGGCGGGCGGCGCGCCGTGCGTCACGGCGGGCGGCGCGGCACCGGCACCGGCGGCGAGCGGCGAGCGGCCGGCCGTCCCGCCGCAGGTCTGCGGGGAGCAGGGGGGAGGCAGGAGGAGGAGGAGGGAGGGGGGAGCGGGCGGCAAACTTCCAGAGAGACGTAAATACGTCCATCGGCGACCCCGCCGATTAGCCGACGGGAGCCCGGAGCGGCGCGGCGGCATGGGGCCGGCACGGCGCTCCCCCGGGCCCCGCGGTCCCGCTCCGGGGATGCCGCCCGCCTGCGGGGCGCGGGCCCCGCTGCAGTGAGCCGGGCGCGGGGCCGCGACGCAGCGCTGCCGCTCCGCACGGCGGGGAGGCCGTGCCATGGCGCTGCGGGGCAGGGCGCTGTACAACTTCCAGAGCGAAAACAAGGAGGAGATCAGCATCCAGGAGAACGAGGAGCTCGTGGTGTTCAGCGAGCGCTCGCTGGACGGCTGGCTGCAGGGCCGGAACAGCCGCGGCGAGACCGGCCTCTTCCCGGCCTCCTACGTGGAGATCGTGCGCCCTCGCGCCGGCTCCGGGCACGCCGAGGGCTCCGGCAGCCCCGCCGGCTCGCCCGGCCACCTGCACGGCTTCAGCGCGGCGCCCGCCGGCCTCTCGTCCCACGGCAGCTTCGAGGATGACGACGACGACGATTGGGATGACTGGGACGACTCGTGCACGGTGGTGGAGGAGCCCCGCGGCGCTGCCGGCACCAACGGGCACCCGGCGGCGGGACCGGAGCCCTACGGAGCGCCCCGTGCCAAGCCGACGCTGGAGAGGCAGGACAGCGTGGGCTCCTCCAAGAGGGGCAGCGTGGTGGGCAGGAACCTCAACCGCTTCTCCTGCTTCGTGCGCTCGGGCGTGGAGGCCTTCATCCTTGGCGACGTGCCCCTCATGTCCAAGATCGCCGAGGCTTACAGCATCGAGATGGGCTGCAAGGGCCCGCAGTGGCGAGCCAACCCGCACCCCTTCATCTGCTCCGTGGAGGATCCCACCAAGCAGACCAAATTTAAGGGCATCAAGAGCTACATCTCCTACAAGCTGACCCCCAGCAACTTCAACTCGCCCGTGTACCGGCGCTACAAGCACTTTGACTGGCTCTACAACCGCCTGCTGCACAAGTTCACCATCATCTCGGTGCCCCACCTGCCCGAGAAGCAGGCCACGGGGCGCTTCGAGGAGGACTTCATCGAGAAGCGCAAGCGGCGCCTGATCCTGTGGATGGAGCACATGACGAGCCACCCCGTCCTGTCGCAGTACGAGGGCTTCCAGCACTTCCTCCGCTGCCGCGATGAGAAGCAGTGGAAGCTGGGCAAGAGGCGAGCTGAGAAGGACGAGATGGTGGGCGCCAGCTTCCTGCTCACCATCCAGATCCCCACCGAGCACCAGGACCTGCAGGACGTGGAGGACCGCGTGGACGCCTTCAAGGCCTTCAGCAAGAAGATGGACGACAGCGTCCTGCAGCTGACCAACGTGGCCTCCGAGCTGGTGCGCAAACACGTGGGGGGGTTCCGCAAGGAGTTCCAGAAGCTGGGCAATGCCTTCCAAGCCATCAGCTACTCCTTCCAGATGGACCCCCCCTACAGCTTAGATGCCCTCAACAATGCCATCTCCCACACGGGCAAGACGTACGAGGCTGTGGGGGAGATGTTTGCGGAGCAGCCCAAGAATGACCTCTTCCTCATGCTGGACACTCTCTCTTTGTATCAAGGGCTCCTTTCCAACTTTCCAGACATCATCCACCTCCAGAAAGGTAAGGGGGCTCCCCTGGAGGGCTGCTTCTCTCTTGGGGATGAGGCCAGACCAGCTCTTACAGGTCCTTCCTGGTGGCACTATGTGTGGAGCGGGATGGGGACGCAGCTCTCTGCTGTGCAGTGGTGGGGACGGGGGACGGTGATGGATGTGGGGATGGAGATATGGATGGGGTAGGGATGGAGACCATCGCGCCTGGCCATGTTCCCTCATCACCCCTGCCCTGGAGGTGCTGCTGGGGCTGCCCGGTTTAGGATCAGGTTTTGGATATGCTCAGCACAACCAGAGCCAAATTCTTTGCGAGTACATCCTCGCAGATTAGAGAAGAGGTCAGTGGGCTCCGCAGCCTGCTGCCACAACCAGAGTATCCCATCTGTCCCAGCGTGTTCCGTGAGAAGGGAAGGGCCTCTGCTGGGTGCTTTCTCAGGGCTGGCCAGCCCTGTGTTTCTGTCCGGGTGTGACGCACACCCAGGGCTGGGTGTGGGAGCGGGGCCGAAGTCCACACACCCCTCCCAGGCCACACCAGGGAGGGGATGTCCGTGTTGGCTGGCGTCTTTGGGTCTCTGCATTGCCCCACAAGGAGCACGAGGAGAAAGAGCAGCCCTGGCTGCTTCCTTGCACTCTCTCCTGACTTTGTTTACCACTACGGGCTGGATCCAGTCCGGAAGCGAGGCCGCGTGGGCCGAGCGGAAGGCAGGATTTGGCCTCCAACCTTTGCTTCCTCAGGGCTCCTCCTCCTCCTCCTCCTCCCGGACCTCGGGTCTGCACTGCCGGCAGGGGCAGGGAGAGGGAATGAATTCCCAGCGACCGCTGGAGGCCGGATCCTGTTTGCAGGCAAACAACCTCTGTGCTGAGGACAGGGAGGAATGCAGGGCCAGAGCCAGGCGGGATTCTTTCGAAACTGAGCTATAAAAATCAGTGGAAGGAGGGGAAAAACTGCTGTCAGAGCATCAGCTGCATCTCAGGCATACTCGGGATGCTGCAGTCAGCAGTGTCCTGCCCCACTCTGTCTCCCACGATAGCTGTTCCATCCCGCTATCAGCCCTGCTGTGCTATGTAGCAAAGTTTCTCCGGTTCCCAGGCAGGAACAGCGGGCTGAGATGTGGGCTGTGCATACTGCCTGCCTGCTGCTGAGCCCGCTGAAAGCTTCAGCTCCATCCCCGAAGCCCGGAGCTTTGGTGCTACGGGGTGAAGCACTGCTCATAGGGCGCCGGTGTGGCTCTCACCTCTCCCCTGCCTCACCAGGAGCCTTTGCAAAGGTGAAGGAGAGCCAGCGGATGAGCGACGAGGGCCGGATGGACCAGGAGGAGGCGGATGGGATTCGCAAGCGCTGCCGCGTGGTGGGCTTCGCCCTGCAGGCTGAGATGAACCACTTCCACGAGCGGCGCGTGGCCGACTTCAAGAGGATGATGCAGTCCTACCTGAAGCAGCAGATCATCTTCTACCAGCGTGTCAGCCAGCAGCTGGAGAAGACGCTGCGCATGTATGACAACCTCTAACACACCTGCCTGCCGCCTGTCCCGCATCGCACCGCTTCCAGCCACGGCCTCGCAGAGCATCTCTGCTTGGCAGGGCTGAGAACGGGTGGGAACTCGTGACGCTAGTGACCAAATACCTTTGGGCTTTCCTCCAGCCTGGCTGCAGGACTGTGGTGAGGACGTGTGTGCTCGCAGGGGACAGATGGACACGTGTGCCTGTGGCACCAGCCTGTGGTTTTTAGCTTTCCAAAAACCCGTCCTCATGAAGCACTGTGGCTCACTGGGAGGAGAAATCCAAGCGGTCGACATTTTGCACAATGAAAGTTTTTCTGATGGGAAAGAAAACACAAAAAGGTCTTTATTTGGAAGAGGTTTTTTTTTTTTTTTTCTTTTCCCCCCCTTCCCCCCCCCCCCCAGTATTTTCCATTTTTCGCAAATGTTTCTGCAGCATTTTTACCAGTTTTTAAATAGACGCAGGCCAACGGAAATCTCTTTTCTCAAGCACTGCTGTTGACTGGAAAAAAGGATATAAAAAACAAAAACAAAAAAAACCAAGCCAGCCCACAGCGTTTTCAATAAAAAACGTCAGTAGAAACCTCCCTCCTCAGCCCCCGCTCTGTCCCTGGGACGTTGCTGGGAAGCAGAGGAAGGGCTCTGCGGAGGGGGCACGGCGCTGGGCATTCCTCCCGAGCATCCCCGGCGGCGAGCACGCAGGGCTGGCACGAGAGCTGTGTTTGTGAAGGGAAATGGTTGGGATAAATCACAGCAAGGGAAGTCGGGCCGGCCTGGCCAGGCTCCAGGGTTAAAATTAGCCCCAGCGTGCGGGCCGGCGTTGGGATAACTGCTGTGCTGGGAAGGCAGCGCGCTGCGCTCGGCCGTCCCTGACCCCCTCATCCCTCCCCACAGGGACAGCATGACGGCCTCAAGGAGGGATGTGCTTCCTCCTGCATCCCATTCTCATCCCACCCCATCTCCAGGCTGTCCTATCCCCATCCTATCCCGTGTCACCCCATCCTCATCCCACCCCGTCCCCAGCCTACTCTGGTCCCATACTTCCCTGTCCCCGTGCTTCCTTGGCTCCATCCTTCTCTGTCCCCATCCTGCCCCACCCTGTCCGCAGTCCAACCTGGTCCTACCCCACGCTGTCCCATCCTACCTTGGCTCCACCCTGCCCCAACCCCGTCCCACACCATTCCCATCTCACCCTATTCCCATCTCACCCTGCCCACATCCCAGCCTGATCCCGTCCTTCTCCATTCCCGTCCCATCTCATCCCTATTCTACCTTGTCCCTATCCTATCTTGGCTTCATCCCATTCCAACCCTATCAAAGTTCATCCCAATCCTACTCTGTTCCTATGCTTTCCCATCCATTTCCTATCTTGACTCCCCCCTCCCTACTCCCCATCCCACTCTGGTCCCATTCTACCCTATCCTTCTTCTACCCCATGCCCACCATACCTTGGCTCCATCCCACTCCACATACACCCCACCCCATCCCCACCCCTGCCCCCATCCCATGCCGTTTCCTTTTGGGATCCCTATCCCAAGCCATTCACCACTGCAGTCCCCATCCCAAGCCATTCTCCCTATTGAGATCCAGATGCTGGGAATTCTGGTGCGGGCTTTGCAGGCTCACCGTGGGGCTGGGTGGATGCAGGGACAGACCCTGCCACTACCATCACCAGGTTTGTGGATGGGAGATCACAAATTTGATCTTGGGAAGACCCCAAAGAAGCCTTCAAAATAGGGAGAACACAACAGAGAACGCTCACAGCTCCTGGTCCCTATTCCTGCCTCTCTTTGGCCTGAAGGCTGTCACAGGAGAACACTGCAGCACTTGCTGAGCCCAGGCAGGACGCACTGGCAGTGAGATGGCGATGTCCCCGTGCCACCAGCAGCACTGCCAGGGCCAAGGAACCCGCCGGGCCGGTTGGCAGGGCTGGGTTTGGCAGCACCACACAGTGCCGGGAGCGCCCGTGTGCAGGGAGCAGGAGCAGGCAGATGCATGTGGGGCACAGCGTGCCAGCTGGGGCTCAGCAGCACCTCGTCGTCCCTGTGTGCCTCGCATATTTTGGGAGCACGGCAGTGCATTCAGCCTGCTGGACGTGGAGGTGTGTGGCTGTTTCTGGGTGTGTTGTTGCGTAGAGCTCAGGCCCCATTGCTTGCCTGCTGGCTGTGAGCTGGGGACGGGGCCGGAGCTGCCTTGCATGTCACTGCGTGCCGTGCAGCTGCTGGAATGCTTTGTGCAGCCAGCCCTGCCTGGGGAGTGAGGCTTGCGGCGTGCCTGTGTGCGGGCAGAGCTGCTGGAGCCTTCCGAGGAACCTGAGCCCAGCTGGGCGTTGCAGGAAACCTGCTGGCCTGCATGTTTGCGTGCGGCAGCACCTGGAAACCAGCCCTGCATCCAGGCTGCAGCAGAGCCTGCACCCCCCCCCCAGTGCTCCCACATGGGGCGAGAGGAGGGCAGGTTCCTGTGCTGGGATGGGGCTCGTGGCTCCCACCCTCATATCCCTGCATCCACTTGTCCTGCGTGCCCTGAATGCTGCTTGGGACTTTGCACCAGCACGACTTGGCCTCACAGAAGCACACCCAGCACCGGCTCCTCCAGGTTGCTGCCTGTCCTCTCCTGACCCCGGTGAGCAGATATCGTGCAGGGGATGGAACCACAAGCCTCCAAAATAACTCTCCTTGCTTTCCCTGCTCCCGAATGTAGGCCGTGTTCCTCCCATTGAATCCCTCGGGGTGAGGCAAGTGCCTGCCCCGCAGCACCCACTCCTGTTGCAGAGCTGATCTACAGCCGTGCACAGCACGGAGTCACGGTGACATGCAGGAGGGAGGGAGAGCCGGCACGCCTCTGCTCTGCACAGAGAGCTGCCCTGGATTTGGGGAGCAGCACCACCCTGCAAGTTGCTGAGCTGCTATCCATCTATCCCTGCACGGGGCTTGGTGAGGGCAGGACTCCCCCCGGCACCCAATGGGCTGCTCCAGCAGCAGGGCAGGGCAGGCAAACTTGCTCATAAACACAGCCAGGAAGGCTGCAAACAGCACAGCTCACAGCCCCGGGGTGCTGTTTTGGGAGGGTTTGACCCCAGATGAAAGGAGTGCTGAGGGAGCATCTCAGCCCGGTTTGCAGCACGCAGAGAGCAGGAGAGCTCTGTGGCAAGGAGCCGCAGCCACTCGGTGTGTTGTTGTTGGGTCCCATCCTGAGCGCAGCGCTCAGTTTTTCCTCGGCTCATTCCTATTTAAGGGCTTAGGGGAAAACTTGAGCAAGAGGCCGGGGCTCGGCACGCCGCCTCCAAACACTGCACTGCAGCTCACGGCTTGGCAGGGCTCAGGCAGACCGGCTGCACCTCGGGAAAGGCACTTTATTCCGTGCACTCCTTACCAGACTGGAGCATACAGCGGGAAACCAAGCCGTGCCCGCTCCCACCTCCAGCTTTGTGCCTCTGGGGGCACCTGGCCTGGTGTGCAGCCCTGGCTGCTCTGGGTCTTTGGAGGCAGCACGATGTGTTTTGCTCATTTCTCTTCTCCGGGTGGGCGGGGGCTCCTTGGATCCCCTTGGCGTTGGCCACGGGGTTTTTCCAAGCCTTTGCTCCGTCACTGCAACCCGCCTAGCCCTGGGGGATTTGGGTAGCTCCATTCCTGAGCCTGACGCGGTGCAAAGCTGCTCGTCCTCATCCCTCTCACCCACCTGCACCCCCAGCACCTCGGCCAATCTCAGGTCCCCCCAATGCGTACCCGATGGCAGCGCTCCCTGATGGCGTTTCGCCCCCCCCCCGCCCACTTGCCCCTCTGCCCAAAGCACTATGGAGATGGGGGGGGTCCTGGGTGGCCGTGCTGGCAGCCCCCCACCCCCAGGTCCTGCAGCGCCCACGGGATGCCGGCTCTCCTGGAGGAGAAGGTGATGCTCTGGGGGGCTCCCACCACTCGTGCCCCCGCCCTGCACCCTCACACCCAGTACTGGTTGTTTTTCAGGGCAGGGTTGGATGTCCGGCAGTACTGCAGCAGCTCGGGGTCAGCTGGCACGCCGGCACCCTGCGGTGGCGGAGCTGTGCCTTTGCCATCCAGGGCATTGACAGTCGTTAGGGGGATGCCTTGGTTGGGGTCCGTCTTGCGGAAGGTCTCCTGCTCCGGTACAGCCCCGTTCTTGGCCTTGGAGGCAGGTGAGCCCTGCACGTGGTGCTTGCCCGTCTTGTTGCGCTTGTGCAGGTAGAAGAGCAGCGGCAGGATGAGGGCCAGCAGGAGGATGATGAGGCAGATGGGGATGATGATGCTGAACATGTTGGCCTCGATGAAGCCTAGGAAGGTGCCGCCCTCCCCGGGGCTGGGGCTGGTGGGTGGGGGCACAGAGCCTGGCTCGCTGGCATTGAGGCTGCTCCGTGCCGTGCCCTGTGGCTGTGGCACCAGGGACGATGGTGCTGGTGGGGCCAGGAGCAGGGTGACACCATAGGACTTAGAGGCATTGTAGGGCTCGGTGAAGTACCCCAGGGACACCAGTGCTGGTGGCACGCCAGCAGCCACCAGTTCAAAGGTGAAGCTGTCACTGTGTGGGTGCTGCTGGTTTGCGTCCCCGTCATCCAGCACCTCCAGCCCCACCAGCCCTTGCTCCAGCTCCCTCTGGCTGAAGGATTCAATGGGGACAGCGGGCTGTCCTGGTGCACGGGGTCTCCTGATGAGGCGGCTACTATGGGATGGCTGGCGGAGCCTGAAGACCGGGATGCTGCGGGTTCGGTTGGCCAGCTCACTGGCATCCAGCGTGCTGGTATCCAGCAGGGCTGTGGTGCCCCTGGGCCACAAGCTGCCCGGACGCGCTGTCACCAAGGCACGGACGGTGACATTCACCACCCCAGTGCTGTTCATCGTTTGTGACCTGGTGAGAAACTGGAAGCTGTCCTCGGATGAGGTGAGCTTGGTGAAGGTGAAGGTCACCTCTCCGCGCTCCAGCTGTGCCTGTGAGAAGCCCTGTGCTGGCTTTCTGTTGACCTGCACTTGGCCAAACCTCGGCTCTGTGGTGATGGTGTAAAGGGCATCGCCCTCGCCGAGCTGCGGAGCCACGTGCCTTGGGGACAGCATGGCCCTATTCAGCTCCTGCGGCACTTCCAGCGGCTCTGCACTGCCCATGGGCAGCACCACCACCTCCAGAGAGATGTGGGCAGGTGGATGCCGGCCATCAGACAGGCTCAGCACCAGGGATTCCTGTGCACCACGGGCTGCAGTGACCAACATCACGTGGCCCGCATTGATGTCCGCCTGCGTGAAGCGCTTGATGGGCACCTGTGGGCTGCGCACGTCGGCCAGGTGTCCGGTCTGGGGGCTGTGCAGCAGGCTGTACACCAGCTCCTCTGGGGAGCCATGCGGCTCTGCCACGTCCAGGTGCTGCCTGGACAAGGTGATGGTGGAGTTGGGCAGCGCCCGCAGTGCTCCTTGTTGCTTCACCACCTGCGGGGGCTTCTGGCTGCTGCTGCTCACCGTCACGTTGAAAGCTTCGGAGATGAGCAGCCCTTCCTGGGGAGGACGGATGGAGCGCTGTGCCCGCGGCCGGAGCCAAGCCTTGAACTGGAATCGGTCCTCAGTGCCACCATTCTCATGGTGCACA